ACCCTTAAGGATGAGCTTCCAAAGCTCTACGCCCTGACTGCCAAATTGATGGAGGCGTGTCTCAAAAACTTCGTGCACATACAAACTACTTGGTTCCGGCAACTACAGCACAAGCTTGGTTCTCTCTTCGAGTCATTCCCGGAAGACATCCAGAAGATCGTGGAAGACTGGTCCTGCAATTTCAACTTCTCTGAATCGCAGGTCCTATCACTGGGCATCTGCAATGGCTCCCTGCTTGCTGATACTGTCAACCTTGTCAACTTCAATACGCCTTCAACAGGAGCCACCATCAGCTCGCCGCGGCGGCCTTCTACGGTCAATAGTGTTAGTACACGCGTGGGATCGACAATGGAGGATTCGCCCAAGGTGTCTCAAGAGTTTGGCAATGGCAGTCATTCGTTCCACTCGCCCAGCTTTGATACTCAATCTCAGGTATCCACTGGCCGCCACCGGGCAGATTCCACCTTTTCGGGCCGTACGGGGCATGAGACGGCCGAAATCCCACGAAGTCAGATGCTGCAGCAGATCACTAGCGCTTCAACTGCGTCTGTGCCAGCTTCGACCTCCACCACCGAGGCATTCCCAAGCCTACCCCGGCTCAGTCTCGACTCACCCTTCCTGGTGGACGTTATTGGTCCTTCGAGTGATGGGAACGATGGCGCAAAGGCCGAGGAGCTGCCCATGTCTCCTGATGGACGGTACTCGGGATTTTTCTCATCAGCGATGCCAATGTCAGACAACCCGCAGGATAACGCACCAACTCATAACGAACCTCCCCATGAGCCAGCGGTCCTCTTCCTCGCGGCAAGCATCTATGAGTTCAATATCGACCGCGCACGACGCGAGGCTGGCTATCCTTACCTGACGTATGTGGTCGGTGAGATTTTTGATGTCATTGCGGAGAAAGGAGAGCTCTGGCTAGCCAAAAATCAGGACGACCCTACCCATCAGGTTGGATGGATTTGGAATAAGCACTTTGCAAAGCTTTCAGCCTGAGATGCAATTTGCAATCAACGTCCTTTATCATTATATTTTCCCACGTGGAAGTTTCTGACAACGTGCGCCAATTTTGGCAGGGGCCTAGGCCCCCAACGAGCTCTGTTTACCAGCTCATCATCCTCTGTTTTTGGCCCATGTTGACCTGGCGTCTTCTACGGCGCGCTACCTAGCATTTGCCTTATAATCTGTTGTTTCTTTGTTTGCTTACGTTCAGCGGGTCGGGCAGGATATAGTGTTGGCGAACTATCTGGTTTATCTGATTTGATGTTATGTTAAATGTTGAATCACCGGACTGACTGGATGGAAGATCGGTGACCATGTGTGCTCCAAGAGAGTTTGATATTACTTTTCCTGACAATTGTTGCGTGGGACGAAAGATGTTAAGATGTACTTTTAGATACCCCTTGCTTGAAGTGAATGAATTGCTTAGCGTGTGCCTCTTACAATAATATCTTTAATATATAGAACCCAAGTTTACCCAACAATCTATGCATCTTCGATATCCTTAGTGGAATAGAAAATAGGCTATCGTAACAGGGCTGAACCACGTGAGCGCACCGCCACAGGTGACGTCTGGCGGCGCCTTCCCCAGAGTGGCTGAGATTGGCTGATGAGGATCGCCGGCCGACGAGGAACTTGCACCTTCGCTCGTCGGCCATCGTCTCCATTTCCCCCCGGTTTGTCAATTGCTGGAACTAGCATCATCTCCCTCGCTCCGATTTTCTACCCTTCGCAGTTGAGCCCCGACGTCCTGCCGTATGTGATCCAAGCACCACAGCCGGGGATCGTATCGACCAGCCGATTCCCACCTGTCTCTATTGATCCTCCGCCCACGGAGACCCACGGACCAGGCAGACGAATACCAACATCCCCTGCCTAGGCCTTCGTCTACCCATTCGTCTTGCGGGCTGTCGCAATCACCCAAGGATACCTATATATAGCCTTTCTCGAGCCCTGTCTCCCTCCTTGTTGGTTGTGATCGGAACCTTATTCCTCGACACTTCGGAACCTCGGTGGACGAACAATTAGATCGACGGCAAGAGCGACCAGTATAATCTGCTTGGAGTGAACACAATGCGTGACGGCGGCCTGGGAAAATTACAAAGGAGGATGAGACGATTTGGCGACACTGTAGGTCAACGGGAGTTCTCTGTCCCTCGTCCTTTGCCCTTCACATGTGCGGGGTCATGTCGGCTTGGGAAACAGACTAAACGTGGCGTAGTTGAACCCAGATGATGCGTATCTAAGTTGTAAGTTCTCTCGCTTTCTTTCCACACTGCATGTTGAGAGATGTAGATGGTTATTAATACTTGAGCTTGATAGATCATGATGTTCGATGTACGTTACTCTGTCAGAATAAAGATACAAATCTACCGCCTTTTGACGCCTCCTTGATCCCTGGTCTCTAACAAACGGATACAGTAACACGAGGGGACATGCAGTCGCTGAAGAATGACTGGCTGACCGATAATGTTCGTGAGATTCTACTATTGATCTACTCTACCGTTTCATGGGAAGCTAACATTCGAGTCATGATCATAGGTCATCTCTTTCTGGGAGGAGTAAGTTGCCTGCCTACCTGAAAAGTTCCTATCCATGGGGCTCACAAGATCAACAACCGTAGGTACCTTGAACACGAATTTCTCGTCCAATACAGGTCTTCCAACATCGTCCTCCTTCGACCGAGCATGTCATTCATGATCCTGCAAACGCCAAACCCACATTCTCTGCGTGAAGCGCTTCCCGATTTTTCTCGAACCACACATGTCTTCCTCCCAATCAACGATTGTCGCAATGTCACGGAAGCAGAGGGAGGCACACACTGGTCATTATTATTGATTTCAATCGTGGACGGGATAGCGTTTCACTATGATTCGCTGCCACCGGGCAATTTCTGGGAAGCCCGGACGGTGACAATGAAATTCGCGGCTCTACTGGGACGACCCATCAACTACGTTCATTTGGAGGATTCGCCAGTACAGGAGAACGGGAGTGACTGTGGCGTGTTCGTCTGTTTGAGCATGCGTCATTTGTTACTGAAGAGATTGCTCACTGCCAACGCCAATGAGAAGGTCAGCATGAGTCTTGGTGGGCGCAAGGTTGATGCTCGGTCGGGACGCAAGGAAATGGCCAAGATTATTGAAGGCTTCCGGAAGGAGGGCGAAAGACGGAGATCGTACGTGACTATTGCCAATATTAGAGACTCGCCTGGTCTAGTACTGACAATTAAGTGCAGAGCGAGTCTAAGCCCCCTTGGCAAGAAGTCGACCAGTCCTCCACGGATCGAATGATATCACGATCAATTGGAACAAGTCAGGGTCGGCGTCGGAAAGGTTTGTACATTGGGAGTTGTTGATACCAGGTCTCGGATACTGCATACATAAGCCAGAGGGATTGATTTGGTTGTGCTGGGAACTCGGGCGTGATAGCGCCATTGGAAGCCCTTCTGGCTACGCATTCTTCTTGTATTGTCTCTGCTGTACTTGTGCTGTGTTTTATTGTTGTTATTCTAGTTTTTTAGTTCCGGCAGCATTTCCTATTGATTGTTGCATTTTTATGTTATGATATGATATGGGGTAATGAGAGACGTGCATTCGACTATGATGGCTGCCTTGAATATGTTGCATTCTAGTGTAAGCACTGTTTTCGATTATTTCCAACTCACGTGTTTGTGTTTGGATGGACTACTTACGTTACCTGCGCCATGGTTGAATTAATATGTCTATTGTGGTGGTTAGTTTAGTATATGTCTTGAATACTACTATATATATTAGTGCCGCTCCTCAGTTTATACCATACTACTCATTACTGCCAACCAAAGAGACACATGCACACACACATATATATCATGATGATACTGACTACTACATAGTACTAGTAGTGTTGGGATAAAACAATATCTCACTCTACCCTCCAGGTATTGCTCTAGTCTACTGCAGTCAGTCTTCATGAACGTATCCTGCTCCACTGTAGTCTCATACTCCACCATATACTATGATCCCATTTTAAGAACAACAGTATTTCTGACATTGTCACTCCATTCCTCAAGTTGATCTACTATTATAAGAACAACTTTAGAATGAACGCGCAGCCAACAGTTTTCATGAAATCGCACCGCTACGGTCAAACTACTACTACTATGCAATCTTCCAACCCTAGATACTCCACCCTATATTCACTCATTACTACACCATGATACCATAAAAACTGCCCACCAAGACAGCCATACCCATCTCCTAAAGTCATTTGCTTACCCTTCCTCCTCCCATCCTCCTTCCTTCTCACTCAATACCTCATCCCACTTTGTCTCCCAGGAAACACGTTCCTTCCTTACCTGAGACTCATAAACATGGAGTAGTGAATGAAGTGGGCTGTCTCCACCATAGGGCTGATGATCTACACACGCGGGATTGACGCCAGCTGCTTTGCCATGAGCTTGGCTTGACTTGGCCTGATATGTTGCTGTGCGTGCCCTATGTAGGTATATCATGTAGGTGGGAGGATTGGTTAGTCATCGTTGTGCTGCTTCTAACTCTATCCCATGAGCTTCCAGAGTCTCTATACAGAACACTTCCTACCTTCTCCTCAAGGAGGAGACCCGCTACATGGTAACGCTCTGTTATTCCCTCGTATGGTCCTTCCTATATCGTGGCTATTCTCGTCGTTCGCCGGGACTCTACCATGGCAACGAGGTGTTCCTACCTTCTCTGTATAGCGTTCCTTCTGCTTTCTGCTCATGAAGAGTAGTTGCCTCGACAGTAAATCCCCCCAGTACATAATGGCCCTCTTCCCCCCCAGCCCTCTCTCTTCTCTTCTCTTCCCTCCTCACACCGTTTGGTCCCTTGATGCTAGTACTGTGATATATCACTTTGCGTCCCCTCAAGCCCATTCGTGTTTAGCTCAGCTTTTATAGCTTCTGCTTCCGCTGCCTTGTACCTTTCTTTTCTTCCACCTCGCCTTCCCCTTACCCTTCTTATCCGTTTTTTGACCAGGTATTTCAGATGACTCACCTCTGGATACCTGGGTTGCCCTACAAGAAGGCTCCCGTAGCCGACCGGTTCAAGTCGAGTGCGCCATTCCTTTCGTTTCCCACGGCACACACGGCACGCTTCGTCTTTCGCCGGAACTACGAGATCACCTCTTCCCGCTCCTTCCAGACAGTTTCGCCCCCCCGAACTGTCGTCCGCTCTCTCCTGCCAGTCTCGACTGGTGTCCGTTCCCTCCCCCGCAAGTCAGCTTCGCCTGACGTCCGTTCTTTTGCCCAGTTGCGACAGGGCTCGCAACTGCCGGTCTCCGTGAGACCATCCACTCCTTCCCCTGCTTCCCCACCTGTCCCAGCTGCCACTGGGGCAGGGCGTTCGCTAACAGGCTCCGTCCTTTCCTCTCGCTTGGAGGAAAGGCGGGCTTCTCGACAGGCACGCTCTCGGCCTTGGGCTGCTACACCCAAGGTCGAGGGGCACAAGAAGTCCCCCGAGGGACACCGGTCGACAACCCGCCCTTCCCCCCGAGTCGAACGAGCCTCTGGTCCGTCCGACCGGGCTATTCGCAGCCCACATATGGCGGCACGTACTCGAAGAGCGCTCAGGCGGATCGACGAGGTTCTTGCTAAGCCTGCTCTGGTCAAGGCTGGGGCAGGTGGACGTAAGGCCAAGTCCGTGAAGTCGGTTCGTTTCGGAGAGGATACCATCATCCCTGTGTCCTGTTGGATAGTTCGGCGCGAGCATGTCTTCCCCGCCCCGCTGGCGGCCATGGGTCACCTGCAGGGTTGGAAAGTCACTCCTCGTGCGGAGCCAGACGAGGAGGGTGAGATGGAAAAGTACACCACATACTGGGGTTCAGACTCATATGTGATGCTTGACATCCACTCTGCCTCGGAGCCGTGTGGACGTGACGGATGCCAGTACCAGCGCCTGGCTAGCATTGCTGCCAGGAGGCCAGGCTGGGGTCCGGCCACGGTCTTCATGGCTTGGAACATGCTGAGAGAGAAGGTCCGGCAACGTGGTGGATTCCGGCTGTGAGTCGTTCTCCTCCCCGTTCCTGTCACTCGTTTTACCCTTCTCTACCCACATTCGTTTGTCTCCTTGACTTTCTTCCAGTCGCCCTTTCATTCTCGCTTTTCCTTTGTCAGCGTCTGTTCATGGACTGGCTCTGGTCTGTTTTGGGGGAAACAGACCATCCAGGTTTTGCTGATCGGGTAGCAGATGCTGGCGTGTATCCTGCTGTGGTATTGGTGGCGCATTATGCACCGAAGAGAGGTATGTCTGTTACCAGTGAGTGTGGGGCGAACACTGACGATTGTATAGGATTCTGGAGCGAGGGTTCCCGAACCACGAGGGGTAATGACGCACACCTGTACGCAGGGTTTAAGTCGTAGTCCCTTACTCGGAGCGTCAGCAACCCGTTGTAGCTCCCGACGAACGAGACGGACGAGACGAGACGACGCCGACGAGACGACGACCGACCGACCAGCGACAGCGACATCGACGACGATAGCGACAGCGACAACGACGACACCGAATCGCCGGAGGCCGATTGGGGGTAAGTAGCTTCCTATTGACATGATGTAGAGAAGAGAAGCTAAAAGCATGTAGATGGTGGTGGGCCATCGACAATACGACAATATCGACGCCTCCTTCGACGACGACGACGACGACGACGACAACCGACGGAGCTACACCGGGCGGCTAATTACGCTTCACCGGAAGCGAAAGAAGGTATGTATTACTTCCAGTGTAGATTAGTATATGCTAACTGATAAATGTAGACGGAATGTTACCCAATCATGCGGATGTACTGGGAGGGAATATTTCGTCTTGGGTTGAGTTTGGTGGCTGGTGACGGAGAGGTTGGAGGTAAGCAGCTGCTTGAGATGATGAAGAGGAAAGAAGCTAATGAATGAAATAGATCAGGGAGATTGTTGATCAGGAGGGATAGCTGGACTGAGTCCATGCGGAGTGAGTGGGGTGGTATTATTAGTAGATAGTTCAAAGACCATGGCATCATGGCACATTTGCTTGGGTTTATGGCGTTGGGTCACGGTTCATTATTATCTTTCTTTTGTTCATTTCATATGGCCCGGGCGTTTGGTGTTGGTTTGGCTTTTGTTTTCCCATTTCCTTTTGTTTTGTTTTATTGTTGATGAACAGGGAGTTTGCCTGTCTTTAGTTTGCTGCTTCTTTTTTCTGGAATGGATCGTCATTGCTGTTCCATCAGTGTTCAGTGTAGAGTATAAATAGTAGTTGTAGTTGGTGGAATGGACTTCAGTGACTGAGTGGTGAGCAGATGCATTAAACATTTAACCAAGTATGCAGCAACCCTAATGCAGACAATATAGTAGATGCACCAATCCAGAAACAGAACAGAACACAATATAACAGAACATACCAACTCAGCAAACACAAGATCAATCAAACAATGCAATAAACCCAGCAAATCCAAAAGAAAGCCAACTCATCCTCATCTACTCAATTAACTCCAACCCTAACTCCCTTTCCAAAATCCCATACATAAATAACTGAAATAAAATGAAGTAGACAGACTAAGCCATCAACTCATTCCACAAATCCGCCGCATCCTCCCCAACAAGCCCACTACTATTCACCTGATCCTCCGCCGCATAGCACGCATCAATGGTCTCCTGGGGCGCATTACACGGACTAATCAACCGATTACACACAAAGTTCATCAACGTATCGATGGTCGTGGAACTCCCGTGCTGGAAATCCACTTGGTTGTTCGTGATGAAACTCCATTCGGTCCGCCCGTCCAGGCCGTATTGGTAGGAGATGCTAGGGTCGGAGCATTGGCCGTAATCGAGACCGGAGGTGTTGTCGTTGTCGTCGCCGCCGTCGCCGCCGGGGGTGGTGGTGGGGCAGGTTGAAGTATCGGTTGTGGTGACTGTTGCTGTGGCAGTCACTGTAGAGGCGGGCAGGGTGATTGTAGAGGTTGAAGCAGGGAGGGTTATCGTCGAAACAGAAACATCCGTCTCTGTCGCTGTCACCGTCGACGCAGGGAGGGTCACAGTAGCAGTTAACACATCCGTCTCGGTAATAGTCGGTCCGGGGATAATGATCGTATCTGTGTCGGTGATGGTGAAGGAGATGGTGTGTGTCCTTGTTGTTGTGGCAGTCTCTGTAGTGGTTACTGGGGGTTGAGTTATAGTGGATGTATCGGTGATTGTGGCAGTGATGATGTCCGACTCGGTTTCTGTCACTGTTGCTGTTGCTGTTGCCGTTGCCGTTGTAGTGATGGCTGGACCGGGGATTGAGACTGTTGCTGTTTCTGTTGCTGTTTCTGTTGTGGTTGTTGTGGCTGGACAGTCGGTTGGTGGAGGGATGGGGCCGGCTGTGTTGGACTCGGTGGTGGTCACGGTGATTATTTGGGTTGGGCTGGTTGGGTTCATTGTTAGTCTTGTGTATAGATGATATAGAGGTGGAATAGGGCAGGGGGAGGGGGGGAAGGCATACCCCGGCTCAATGGTCGTGATGGTGATGGTCTGCACGTCGTTGTCGTTGTCGCAGCCGTTGCCGTGGTGGTGGTCATCTTCTTCATCATCAGAATCAGAATCAGAGTCATCATCGTCCCAGTCACTGTCGCTGTCGGAGTCACTGTCACTGTCGCTGTCGCTATCCCAGTCACCGTCATCGTCGCCATCATCATCACCCTGGTCTTTATGATGATGTTTATGACGGACTTGGTCTGTGATATCGTTGTTGTCATTGTCATCATCATCGTCATCGTCATCCTTCCCACCGTGGAGGTTCATAGTGCAGTCCTGGCCATCGGTACAGGCGTCTGCATCGGGCACTTGCACGTCCACATTCACGGCTGTAGGACGGGTCACGGCGAAGGGGAGGGCCTGGAGGAGCAGGAGAGGCAGTAGCCAGGTTGTTTGGCGGACCATGGTGGTGGTTTATAGTCTTGAGATGTTCTGTATATTCTTGTGGATGGAGGATTGGATAGTATTGAAAAGAAGTAGATGCTATGGGCTGAATAGCTTCAATTGGACTGCAATTGCTTGACAGGATACAGAATGATGCTGCTGAATGTGATATTACATCCTGGAAGACAAGGAAACCTTATACATTTATATACTCCACCTCATCGCTACGGATATAATCCCCGTAGGTAGGACATTGGTATCTCGAAGCAGACCTAACGATGAAAGCAGGCCTTTCCTGACAGAATGAGTAACTGATGAGGACGGCCATGAATTAGGCGATGAGAGAGTGAATTCGTCCATTCTCCAGACCCATGCCAAAAGTATACTATAGTATCGAACCTCCCAACATATTTCACTGGTGACACAACACATGTCCTAAGAATAATCTGATAAGTTTTGACGACCTCGTCAAGATTAACACACTCCGGACGACTCAATAAACAATGAACAATGCCCTTTGTCATCCGCTTTCGCTTGTCCGGCCGTGTTTCTCATTGTAGGGTCGGCCCGTTTCCGGTCCACTGCATTCCAGCCAGTGTCTTTAGGCATGTCGGGCAGCCAGTATGTATGCATTCCCTTCCCGGAACCGACCCCGTACTCTAGAAGATGAACATACTAATACTCCTCGAATCATTTAAGACCTAGGATGTCCTCTGGAAACGGTTCATTCTTCTCGGTTTGTATTTTAGAGGGAGATGCGGATGTTGAATCTTGCAATCACGCCTTGGCGGTTCCGGACGCGGATTATGATGTATGCATACATTGCTTGGTATGCTATGCCATTGTCCTCCCACGGGGAATTAGCCCCTTGGTCTTCTCCACTTTTGTCCCATCTGGAAGAGAATCTCTGATGTGGGTGCCGAGCCCAAGACTAGGGGAAGCTGGTTCTGAATCATGGTGATGTCTTGATCAGCGCTGGTGATGTAATATCCACTTCCTGACAGGATTCGCGACAGGCACGACGCTCTACGTCTTAGCGCCGAGATTAAACTTCCCATACCAATGGGTCGGTGGATACACAGCACCTCAACTTCATCTTGCCACTTTCAAGCACTCCCGCTAGGCAGTATCAGGTTTGCAGTAAACTACTCAATACTTTCATTACTCGCTCCGCGCGCTGACAAGATCAAACTCGGCCAGTTGGATGAGGCCGAAGATAGACAAACAAAGCGTAGGTACAATGGACGAGAAGAACTCCTGTAGAGGAATTTATAGCCAGAAACCCGGAGCATCCCTCCGACAATAGTCAGTTAACAACAGTATAACAAACAGTGAACCCCGAAAACGCCGGCCAATGTTGAGAAACAGACAAAATGCAAAGCGGAAATTGTGTACACAGAGGCAGACATGAAAGACAGGAATAAGAAGCACCAAGGTTATAGAACGTTTGAATCATGAGCCAGAGTGCCGAGCGTATAATCTATACGAAATATGAAAAGCCGAACCATGAGGTGGAAAGGACAGTGCTAACATATGTACCAAGAGGACAGACAGGGTGCCAACGGAGGAACTTGCAATGGGGCCGCACGCCCAGACAATCCCATCACTTCTGATGTGGGAATATACCAGATATATGTCCAAGACCACTTGGCTAGGGCGGAGTAGGCGTTTGGCGGACCTCTTGCTCGTCAGACCGCTGCTTCTCGCGCGTGCGCATATACATTCCCTCCGACGGCGTTTCCGCTGCTGCAGAGGGATTTATCGAGCGAGGAATCGCCTGAGATAGTTGCTGCTGTTGCTGTGCGACAATCTCTCTCGCATAGAACTCCACAAGCATCGTCCCGTATGCTTCAAGCTCTTCAACAGGAATCGATAGGCGAAAGTCGTTCAGCAGTAAGAATTGAAGTTCAAGGTGGTTGAGCTCAACCAGCGGCAGTCCGCCAACCTGTAAACGAGTTAGAGATCATAGTCTAATGAATGATATCTGAGGAAGCCACCTTTGCATATCGAGAATTAGTGTAAAATACGTCCGAGAAGAATTTACTGGCACAAGTTACGCCTGCGATAACTAGCCGGTGAATGTTGAAACTATCAACAACGAAAAAGTGGGAGAACTGATCCTCCTCGTCCTGTGGTTGGAGAGAGGGCGATATGGACGACGGACTGGACGGGTCTTGGGCTGCGATTCCCGACGACGATGGCGGGGTTACCAACGGCGACGCTTGTGTCGTATGTGTCGACGACCGCTCAGCCGACGATGGCCGTGTACTGTTGCCACTTGGCACGGTAGACGTGCCATCCCAGCGACGTCGTAACCGGTCGAGCTGGCCCTTATTGACCAGTTCCGTCATGCGATCGAAATATACCAGCAGACTGAGAAAGACCTCATACGTCGTAGGACAGTACTTGTGTATCCTGGTCAGATAGCTGAGAATACTGATGCTGGGCACGTTTTTGCCGTGAAATGCAAGCACGCTGGTAGCCTGGGAGCTCAGAGTGGTGGTGCCATCCGGGGGCGGAATGTGTCGATGAACCGACTCGTGATGCAGGTCATTCGTCGTTGTGATTTTCATCAGCAGTCCAGCAACCATCTCGATTATGTCCGTGACCGGCATGGAACTAATCTCGTACTGGCGCTCTTGGGCCCACTGCCCGGGTGCCTGATCCCTCTGCGCAAGGAACTCTTCGCTGGCAAAGCTTTGGATGTGTGACAAATCACGAACTTTGATCCGACTCGGAGAGTTCGCCTCGGAACCCCCCAAGGAGCGAAGGGACTGGAAGGTCGGTTTTAGTTGAGGCGAAGCTGGCGAAGACTGACTCCCCATATGCGGTGCCGAGGTTGGTACCGTTGTTGTTGTTGTTGCATGGCTGCCACCAGTGTGATGAGAGGAAGAGTGTGCTGCAGGATGAGAAGCGGAGCCCGGGCGCGATGGATGGTGGGAGGTGGTAGAGGTCATTGAGGCTGATGGAGGATGAGTGTAAACAGATCCCGGAGTGGCAGAGGAGGCTCGCGTGGATGGTTGGGAACTGGGTTGAGAGGGCCGACTGATGTAGGCCGGTACATCATGGGTTGGGTGGGAGGGGAGGCGAGTAGAGCCGGCGGCGGAGGTTGACGGCGGGGCTGTGGATGAGGTGGGGGTGGTATTGGACGAGGCCGACCTAGAGCTCCCGGACTCCAGGTGTGACGAAGGATGGTGAGAGGGCTGCTGATGAGTCGAGGACCGATACACTGATTCCGAAGAAGTGATGGCGCCTCCCAACATGTTGTAGGAGGTATCCATATAATCCGGTCGCGGATGGTTAACGACGACCGATCCCATATCAGAGCCGACGGGGTTTAGAGAGGTCAGACGCGGGTGCTTTCTACTCGGTACAGGGCCGGCGGCCGAAAGTCAGCGATTACTTTGAAGACCAGTGATGAGGGGGGTCATGTCATTGGGGGGGGGAAGGCCAAACAAGGAACAGATTCCTCCGCGTAAGGCATATCGCAAGAGGGACAAAGCACCAAACAGCGAGAGGGGAATGGGAGAGATACCGGCAGGATGATTAGTTTTAGTCAATGATCCAAGAATGGGAGGACAGTCTAGATCTGGAAGATCGTGGCGTGAAGGGTCAGAGCACCTTGGGGAGGGGAGGGTGTGTATGTAGTAGCTACAAGAGTAAAAGGTAAGAGTAGGAGCAAAGCAGTTAAAACGTGAACCCGACCCAAGCCTGTAGCGGGAAGGGAATCACAAGCGATAGACGGCAATGGAGTGGTCCATTGCGATGAATCAGCGAGGGACAGGACAGGACAGGACAGGACAGGACAGGACAGGACAGGACAGGACAGAACAGAACAATCCGGGGCGAGATGGGGCAGGAATGAGGAGGAAGGATGAGCAGACAGGTACGGAGAGCACTATCAGGTTATAGAAACCGGACTGGAGGGGAACGGAGGATAAGGGGAATGGGGGAATAGGGTGGCGGAGAACGATGGGAAAGGTGGATTTGGGGTGAGTGAATGGATGGATGGATGGATGGATGGATGATGCAGGAAGGGAACAAGAGACTCTCGTCCCGGCAAGGTTGGGATCCACACCCGGCCATGGCCCAGTCAATCATCTCCCATCCACCTTTGCCCATATTACCAACATCCACACCCTCTACATTCCCCCCCCCCCCCAAGTTGATTGATCAAATGGCAGGAGAAGCAAGACGAATAAAGACGAGCATTCATTGACACCTGGAAGGTTCTCCTGACAGGGTGAGACAGGCAAGAATGCGACCTGACGAAGATATGATACCATGAGATGATCCATCATCTTTTGATTCAACCTACATACTGGGCATCACTAATTGTTCTACTGGATCTACTCCGGTCCAGGCTGCACCGGAGACATCCTTACTGATTGGTACAGCAGGGTCTCCCCATGAAGGTTCCTTGCAGCGATATCAAGCAAGTCCACCTTACCGACCGCGCAGAATGAGGAAGCCCTTGTCGTCATGAGATCGCATCAACAGCCACTCTTAATACCTGCTTATCTTCACCAACTACTTACTACTTACCTGATAACTAGAGAGTAATATTGTGACTGATTGATTGATTAATTATCTATCTATCATCCCAAGAAGAAGGAAGGATAAGGCGAGACTACGACTAAGAGAAGAAGAAGAAGGAGACGCACACCCTCACTCACTGTTCAGGCCTAAACCAGATAGTCGCATTTAGGACGGATCATCCTCTGCTTGGGGGTGCAATGGGCGAATGGCGGCTCCTCTGCCGCGCAGGTGTCCAGCAGCGCCGACTGATTGGTGGCGGCTCCAGACGCTCTGGAGGCAATGGCAGCCGTCATTGACCTACCATCTATCTTGGCCTGGCCCCCTAATTACAAGCTAGCAGTTCCTTAGACAGTAAGTATTACAGTAATTAGTTGATGGCTCTCAAGTTCAGTCTGTGGGTAAGCAGCGGGGAAGCTATTAATCTAAACGGTACTCCGTAGTTGGTATTTAGTCTAGATGATGTGATCGTGCCATACTCCGCGCGTGGGATCCATGGATGGTCAAGACTACTGTCCCGTAGCTTGGGATATCCGGAATTAGTCGACCCCGTCTAGTGACCCTGGCTCTCCTAGATAAGGGCGGATCCATTTATTGGGGTCAGTCTAACGGTCACTGGCATACTGGTCAAGTGATAGTGCCTCAAGCAAGCAAACTATAAGATGACGGGAAGCGACTCCTGAAAAAGCGCTATCAACCCACGCTATCACATCCCCTCCCCTAAATCTAATATCCCACTCGGTGAAGAAGATGCTTCCCATCTAGATTGATATCTAGCAGTCTCAGATCTGGAAATTTCTCCTGTCTTAATCTGAGGCAATAGCACTACTCTGTAGAACAAATGAATAGCTCGTGTAGCAGCTAACAACAATTAAATCATCGTCCCGTATAGATACATTCGTTAATTGGTAACGCCCGGTCCAGTGTAGCCCGTGTCCGGCAGGTAGAGGTGTCGCTGGGCGCCCCGAGACGTCAGCACCACCAGTCGGATGACACCACCCGAACTGCCATCCCACTTGATTGCTTCTTGCAGTGCTCCGCGGACGAAGTTGATGCCTTCCTCCTCTGTCATGTTCTCCTTCCAGTGAGTATCACAGTACCCATAGATATAGGTCGATCCGGATCCGCCAATGGAGTACGGTTGCTTGTGAAGAGACCCGCCCAAGGGTATCGAATACACCTGACCTCCGTGCTTCGGGTCATATCCAGCGATGATGATACCGGCACTATGATTTGTTGGTCAACAAAGCTTGCTCATTCCAGACTGACCCGGTGGTATGCCTACCTTAGCATGTCCTTGTTCTCGTAACATAGCTCTTGGAACAGCGATGCGGCGACCTGAGTACTTGGTGCCTCGTTGTTGGTGATTGCGTACATGTTGAGGTGGTAGGACACGATGTCTGCCACAGCCTGGGTGTCCGCGGCGGAACCTGATCGACAGCACCAGATTGTGTCATGGACCTGCGTCAACTTGTCGGTGACTCGGTTGGCGATATAAGCTCCGGTTGTCGTCCGGCTGTCTGCACCCAATATAACACCATCCTTGAAGTTGATCGCCATGCTGTATCTCGTCAACATATCGGACATTGCCTCGGGGGCTGACCGAAACTCACATCGATGTTCCTAGGCTGTACCGATGAGTTAGTGACCGTTCTCAAGTCTCATTGAGCAAATGGTTGGGGAACATACTTTACTTCTCCGCTCTTCAAGTGGTTCATATCAACATGGATGCCATCTGCAATAACTCATCAACTCCCGCTCGACACATTATCAAATCATAGCACGAGACCACTAACCCTCGCCGAGCATCCCCGTCATACCGTGACCGACCATGATGGCTGATTGAAAATTGACAGAGAATGTGGATAGTTCCTGTCTATGTAAATCTATGCCACTGAAAGAAATAGGGTGTGATGGCGATGAAGCGTGGATGGAAAGCAAACGTCAGTGCAGCGTGACTGATGGTCAAAGAGGTGGTTATGAGCTCTGACGGAGCTCTCCAGGCAGGTGAACGCGTTACGTTGGCAGCTGGAGCTGATTCCGCCGGGCGGTGAGAGACAGCCACGTTCCTACTGGGTGGTTCCTCTTCCCCCGCAAGCCTCCTGAACGACTTTCCCCAGCCATAGAAAGCAGCCCCCGATGAAACAAACCGACGCATTATCTCCCGCTCCAGGCTGCAGGGTATCTCGCCGGATCGTGACCCTCACCACTTGAGTTTTCCCCCTTCCTGCATCTTCCAGCGCTGCGACCGTCAATTCAAGCATTTCCACCCTCTTCCGTTCCAGCCGCACCGCCTTATCTCTCCGCGACACTGCCTGGTTAGCCAGTCTACTACCATGTCGGAGTCGCCGCCCCCACCGTCATGGAGTATCGCCGGCATGGCCAACAGTGCCGTGCAGTTCTTGCGATTGCCAGTTTTAGCGTCTTCCGGATTGGCTGTAGTAGCCAGCGGTCTTTTGTACTTTAAGCAGAAGTTCGTACCCCGTCATCACAGACGTCCATGGAGAACATCTCAAGTGGTGTGTCGTTAGACGCTGACCCCTTTTGCAGTGAACTCATTTATCCTCGCAACGTGCCCGTGGATGCGCGGACAAATGTCCCCAAGCCCCAACAGTTTGGACTCACAGACTACGAAGATCTACAAATTCCGACCCCCGATGGAGAGTCGTTAAATGCCCTGTTCATCCGCCCCTCGCGCAAACGTATAGGCCCGAGTATCACCGTTTTGATGTTCCATGGAAATGCCGGAAACATCGGGCATCGCATCCCCATCGCAAAGGTTCTACAAGATGTCTTGGGTTGTAATGTCTTGATGGTGGAGTACCGTGGTTACGGTCTGTCGACAGGTACACCGGACGAGGCGGGCTTGAAAATCGATGCTCAGACGGGGCTAGAATATATCCAACAGCGACCGGAAACCCGAGACAGCAAGATTGTCGTATATGGACAGAGCTTGGGTGGAGCCGTGGCGATCAACTTGGTTGCCAACAATCAAGGCAATGGTGCGATCGCTGGACTAATCCTTGAAAACACATTCCTGAGTATTCGCAAACTGATTCCCACGTAAGTCCTGCTCTATAACTGGTTGCCGACCAGGCGATGTTATCCACGTCCTAGGCCAGGCAATGCTGACTCGTCTTATAGGGTCTTCCCTCCTGCTCGTTACCTTGCCCGTTTCTGCCACCAATACTGGACCAGCGAGGATGTCCTACCTAAGATCACACAGGTCCCCGTTCTCTTCCTGAGTGGGCTGAAGGACGAGATAGTCCCGTGAGTGCCCTCAGGAATTGTTGTACAAGCTGAGTCCCAGCACGTCACTAACATGCAGCTTATGACCAGACCATCCAACATGACTCAGCTCTTTGCTATCTGCAAATCCGACCGCAAGGTTTGGCGTACACTTCCAAATGGAGGACACAATGACAGTGTTGCTGAGCCCGGCTACTTCGAGCATATTCTCTCTTTTGTGAGGGAGGAAGTCCTCGCGGACGGTCAATGAACCGGCCGCCCAGATGGCATTGGGGCAGCACCACGAACTTCGGCCATTGACGTGAATCGGTCACTTTTATATCTCGGATCGCTCTGATGACACTGATGCTTTCCTTGGTGCTGTGCCTTCACCAACTGCCAACGAACTCATGAACCACTTTCGACCCTTTGCTCTCACAATATCCCTTTCTGCGAAGACTACTCGTCCGCAGTCATGTCTAGGGCAAGGTTCTTTTACAGTGCCCTTCACATGTGGCTGTCGCTACATGAAGAAGAACTGCTCCTTATACACCCAGTTTAATTTCCCTTACGACTTGTCCCCGAACAGTCCATCTGCTGCGGTTTCTAATTCAGACCCCTTAATCCAACGCAGCATTGGTTCGAACACTGTACCCATATCAATTATGTTTCGACAGCAACTTGCTCGCCTGTTCTTTGTCATTGCTCCCTGCGTGGAGTCTACCTTTTTTTGTCTCATGATATTCATGCTCATGGCGTTATTGACTCTGGCTATTTTCTCATTATTTTCGCACTGCTTCCAAACCCAGGCGGTGTTTGGCTTGTCTCATCTGGCTGCATTGGCTGACTGCACTCATGGATTTATGAGTTGTGAATCTACGCGTTCGCACTAGAATTAGGAAAGACCTAGCAGCCAAGATCGTCTATATTTAATGAAAATTTCATCTAGTCCAATGGACCAGTTGTGTTAAAACAAATATTCTGCGACTCTTACGATCGATCGTACTGTGTACTAAGTTATAGCTTCGTAGTAGTAGGCATGCCATGCACTGCTAAAGAACATAATGACTCAGCAGCATAGTGGCGCTGCACAAGGCACGGCCCCACGTGGATAATCGGCGAGCGGAAACGTCCAAGTCAAGCCATCAATTTAATGGCTCATGCCATCATGCAAAGTTCAATAGTCATCCCACCCGTTCGTTGCTGGCAACCTCCAGCTCCCTAATTCCTTCATTTTACATACTCGCCGCCGTTGTTTCGCTGTATATTCCTTTTGTTCCACGTTCTTTCGCCTGTCGTTCCTTCTCTTATTAAACAGGACACGAGTCCTCTACCCCCGTACCAAGCATACCCTAGACGGGCCACTTGGCGATCTGGCCCGCCATTGACGGCATTGATTTGCGATATCCTTGAAACCCACCACTTTCGTACCCACCATGGCGAACCGTCAGATTACTCGACGCATTCTCATCAGTACCGCGATTGCCGTCTTCCTGCTCTTTGTTTTCTTTATCCGACCTGAAGGACCGCCGAGTCCCGCGATCCGTGCCCCTGGTCACCTGGAGAAGGCTACGCAGGCCGTGGTCTCCAAAGATGACCTCACCAAGGGCGAGGTTGTGATGCCCCGGCTGGGGAATGCAACCGCGAAGTAGGCTAAAGCCAAATGCTATTTCGCATTCTTGACATTTACTGATTATTCACCACCAATGGCAGAGCCGAATTGGGTCGTGCGACATGGAAGTACTTCCATACCATGCTAGCTCGATACCCCGAGGACCCGACGGAGGAGCAGCAGGAAACTCTTCGCTCCTTCATCTACCTTTTTGCGCGACTCTATCCATGGTACCTACCCACACTCCTTTCTCTCTGCGCTGATCGTGGCTGCTGACTATTTACCAGTGGGGAGTGCGCTTCTCATTTCCAGGGTCATCTGAAAAAGTACCCGCCGCAAGTTTCTTCGCGCAACGCGGCTGCAGGATGGGGCTGCTTTATCCACAACGAAGTGAACACCATGCTCGAAAAGCCGATCTTCGACTGCAATAATATTGGGGACTTTTACGACTGCGGCTGCGCCGAGGACGAGGAGGGCGAGGGTGGTGAAACTTTGAAGGATAAGAAGAGTCAGAGCGCTGCTCGAAACGAGGTTGATAGCGATGATGCCGTTTCGCCCGTTGAGATATCCAGGGAGCCGTTAGTTACTTCCTTTGATTACCACGGGAGCGAAGATACTGATCAGACGATCTAGGACTACGCGGGGTTGAACAGAACCGCAGAACTTGGTATCTAATCCGTGCACCTGGTTGCGTTTATACCCAGTACTTGTTCTTGCATGCTCCACCAGCGCAGGATCGCTGGGTGCATGGGGCCAGGAGCAGTACCTTAGCGTATGATTTCTACAGCCACACTCATTCAAATTCCGCATTATCGTCCAGACTTTGTACTTTGCATGTGAATTTCATCTGCCCTGTAAGCACCCGGATTTCCCGGAAAGGGCTTCGCTTCTCACACAGAAATTGTGAGAGGGTAACAGGGATTCTGCAGTCACACAGCTGTAAACGAAGCTTCTAGCAGGTTCTCAGCAGATGCGAGCAAGCGATGGCCGGGGCGGCCGGTAAGGTTGCGAAAGTATGCGGCATCGCGCGCATGACTGCAGAGATGCATCTGACTGGCGCGGCTGACCAAGACTAACGTAGCCTGTTGCTGAACACAACAAGGCACGGTGTATTGCCTCGCTCCGCTACAGCAAAGCTCTATGAACGATTACTCAGTTTGCGATATAGACAACTAGTCAACTAGCATTACCGACACCACGCTGGAAGTGTCAGCGACAAGGCTGAAACCTGACTTCCAATAGATGAAACACTCCGCCATGAGGATGCCTGATTCGCGCGCGGCCCGGGCCACAAAAATAGAAATAGATGTCGTTAAGCCAGCGCCAGCGGCATCGCTGAACCGAGCCTGGCTGTCAACCAGAGGGTGGCTCGCACCGAAAGTCTAATCAACTGTAGACTGACGATCTTACCCACCTCAAGCCTATGGAACAGGGAGGTATCACTATGCCTAGATAGCTGGCGACGGACTCGTATCGGAATTCTCCCGCATCATCTGTAGGATCGTCTTTCTTTCGCACCCAGCGCCACACTAATTGACCCGGTGAAGGCGGGTGAAGCTGGCTGGTGACTGGTTGATCCGCCCATATTGCTGCACGGCGTCAGGTCTCCTGATAAGTCCGTGCTGATGTCCGGATGTGCAAGCGCTACACCCGTGGTCTACTTGATCCACAGGTCATCATGTCGGCGTTTGCATGGGATTCCTGAGCCTCGTCGACCGAAGGGCGCGTTTCAGGTCTGCGAGCCCAGGTCAATCTGACTCCTGAAGGTCATGGTGGAAGATGAGTATGAAGAGGAGATATGCTGTATTCGATGTTTTCAGTGGAGCTGTTCTTTGAGCGGGTCGTATTCTCAGCGGTAAAAAGGAGGCGCATAAATTCTATCTCATTATCTTGTCTTCTTGGATTTGATTGCGGGGTTGGAGGGTCATGGCCTGATTCGTCAGGTACCAAATGCCTACCATAAGGTTTGGAACAATCCTAAAGCAGATAAGCGCCACCCAGAGTTAATTCTGGACTTTTTACTTTTTTGGCCCTTTTTTTGCCCTTTTCTTTTTTGGCGAGGGAAAAGAAAGCAAAAGCACAGCAGCGAGACGCCGAGACGAGAGCAGGGAAGCTTTTCCTTGAAGACGCCGAGTGCTTGGGATCCAGTCCGCATTTATTTATCTGACCTGCTTTGCTTATTCTGCTCGGCTTGTCCGACCATCCCTCGTATTTGTTTTGCGCCGTCAACAACAATAACAATCACCACCACTACCACGACTACCACCATCGCGCGTTTGTTTAAGTTGGATTTAATTGGATTGGACTTCGTCGTCGCGCAGGGATCCATTCGTCCCAGAAAATACTCCATCGCTTGGTCGGCTTATTCCCCGACAGGTTCAGTGCGGGTCCCGACAAACTAGCGCCCTTCTCAATCGCCGTCTTTTCTTCTTTTTCTTGCCTTGCGACTTTGAGTTCTCAATATATCACTGGGAAAGGCCCGACTCGTGCAGACACTTGAATAGTACGCGCACCACATCGCCGGGTCATTCAATATGGTTTCCTTCTCCTGCGAGGTGAGTTGTCCTTATCTCTCGTTTGTCACGAGCAGCATCCTGCGCGGAACTCTGCTGGAACTCATGCTAACTCGCTGCCTCTTCTCGATCCCTAGGCTTGCGGTGATATCCTCACCAAGAAGAAGCTTGATCCCCATCGCAACCAATGTCGCGGCGCCACCTTCACCTGCATCGACTGCATGGTGCACTTTTACGGGACTGACTATCGGTCGCATACGGTATGGCTCTACCCCTCCGCTTGTACTTTTGCCGTGAACTATATACTTTGCGCTTCGCCCAACGGGTCGGAACTCTCTGCGCTATATCTGCTTGTCTGATTGGTGGACCTGAGGGCTCGGGCTCTTGTTGGGACAGTGCAAGCGCACTTTTGTGAACAAGAATGGGCGACTGACATGTCTTCTTAGTCGTGTATGACCGAGGCGCAAAAGTACCAGGGCGCGCTCTACAGGGAGAAGCCTACGAAGAACCAACGCAAGGCGCAACAGAACAATGGCAAGCAGAATCAGAAGCAAAACAATGCTCATGGTCACCGCGCCCCGTATGTCGAAGATGCGAACGACACCGATAACCCGCCCGCGGCTCCTACTCCCCCTGTGGCTGGAAACGACAAGTCCCAGGGTACTTCTACGCAGAACGGAGACAAGCAAGTCAATGTCTTTGACTACTTGGTGGCAGAAAAGACCCCCAACGCGTCCAAGGTCTCTCTAGGCGGATCCAAAGAGCAGATGAAGATGGTCGCCAATGCTCCCTCCGTCTTCGAGCCCAGCAAATCTCTGACCCGCGCCGACACCGATGCGGAGGAAGAGAACAAGAACTACGATGTCGCATACGAGGAGAATGGTTACTCCTATGGTGCTGGACCCATTAACCAGTCGGTGTATGACGGTAAAGCCCCGAACGCCTCCATGGAGTTCATGACTCCGGCACCGAAGAAGAAGAAGGATCGTTTGCGCGGCGAGGACAAGGTCAGCGGCACGACCAGTGAGAAGAAGCGCAAGCGCCGCACCGATGATCACGACATGGAAGAAGCTGACACCCCCATGTTGGATGCGCCATCCAGCGTTCTGAACAACCCGGGCACGCCCATGCTGAAGCACTCTGGTCTGACTGGTGGTCTGGATCGGATGCTCCGCTCGCCGTCTCAGGACGGAGAAGACCACCCGCGTCGGCGTTACCAGGACCCCTCGTCACCCATCAAGCGTTCTCGCCGGGACAACAAGGACGCCAATGGTGATGGTCTTGGAATTTCGATGAAGAACCGCGCTGAACGTCTTGTGTCGTCCATGTTTGGCGGATCGTCGGTTTCAGGAAGTAGCGTGAACAGCCGCGAAACTGGCAAGGCTGCCCGGGCCAGTCGACGCGGGTCTCCAGACGAGGGTCGTTCCAAGAAGTTGCCCAAGGTCCGCAACACCTCGAACGGCCAGACCGAGTCTGATGTTAGCAAGAGCAAGCGTAAGAGCAGCGCTCAGACGGACGGTGATCGGCCGTCGCGCCGTCAAAAGCAGATCGAGCACACCGACTCTCGCCACGACGATAACGGTCGTGAAGTGGTGGTCTACCAGCAGAGCGGCGTCCCTGATGGCCTGCAGCGCCAGATGGCTACTCACTTCCTCTCATTGGTGACCAAGGGCCCCGAAAGCACGCGCGGGTTCTCTGTGAACAAGGTTTTGAAGCGATTCCACCGCGATTTCACGGACGAGTTTGACGACAGCGACCGTGGACGCGATCAAGGCCGCAGCCGTGCGGATCGGGAGCGCAGAGCCGATGATGAGAAGGAGCTGTGGCGGACTCTGCGGTTGAAGCAGAATGAACGGGGTGAAGTGGTGCTTTTCTTCTGATTTTGATGGGTAATACGAGCATGGCATGGAGGCAAATAATTTCCTTTCTTCTCTTCTGATATCTTTGACTGCACTATTTTTGTTGTGCATAGCGCTTGTGATGTGTGGATGGCTTTTTGAAGATTCATTTCAATATGTATATTGGCTTTATTGATTGCAGCTAATGGTTTCGCTGGCAATCATTGGTTATTCCCCCCCTGCAATCTAATCCTCGGATCTAGAATCTGTAGAATATGCGGTCCCACTATGAGTAATATGCGGTACAGGATGACTCGAAGGCGCAGCATCTCTTCCAGCATGAGTCACTGGCCGATAAGCCCCTGGTACAACCCTATTAGGTTAATTCCCTAAAATCCTGCCATGAATACACTGTAGTTTATTAGCAGTGTTAATCCACAAGCCATCATTGGGTGGGACATGACCCGTTGAAAGCTGCCACTTCTCCATCAAATCTTCATCTGTCGCCACCCGAACCACCTCCGAGCTCAGGAACCATCCGAACCACCATCAAATTCCATCCCTTCGATCGCTTTCTCTTCGCTTACAATTATCTGCTCTTTCAGCCTGCAAGGCATTTCTTCTTTTTACTTTCATTTCCTTTGTCTGCCCGGGTAGTGTGTCTACTGTTGAGGAAGAGTTGTTGTATTCCCTCGTTGTTTTTTTTTTTTTTATTTTTTTTTTTCCCTTCCCCGTTCACACTACTACTACTCATTCAATATCTGGATCGGCGGTTATCGCCCATTAGCGTTGGTGCATGATTGTCCTCCCACCACCGCCACCGCAAACCTCCCACCCACTCTCAAGGACCCTGGAGACGCAGACCATGTCCGCTACTTCTGCAGCTCCAGCTCCAGCTTCCGCGGCTGTTGGAGCCTCCAATTCTAATTCCAGTACCCCGCGCCCGAGACGCGGTAGAGGCCGTGGTGGCCGCGGTCGACAGACAGCGAATTCAGCTCAGGCTCAGACGCAAACGCAGACTCAGGCAGCACCGGACGCACAGCCTCACACTCAACGTCAACCGCCTACGGAGACCACACCGAACGGAGATGCACCGCGTCCGCCGCGAGGACCGAGGGGAGGCAACAAGAGGGGCGGAAGAGGGGCAGGCGCGAGTCGTCGGCCACGCGGTGGCGATCAGGCTACACTTCCCGCTGGACGGACCTTTGGAGGAAGATTGACCAGGCCGGAGCAGGAGCAGGATGGTCAAGCCATACCGGGCGGTGACGGGGTGGATGAGGCAGGGTTGAGGGCCGATGCGCCTGTGTTTGTGCCTGGTGCTGCACCGGCGCAGCAGCAGCAACCAAGGGAAGAAGTTCCCAACGGTGCAGCATCTGCGTCTGGTACTGGGAGAGGCAAGGGAAAATCGAAGGCAAAGAACAATAACAATAACAGTGGTGGTAATATTCAGAAACAACCTCGGTCTCAGCCACCGCCGCCTCCGGCGAAAGTTACGACAAAATCAACGGCTTCCGACATCGCCACTCGAATTCACGAGGATATTGCGTACAATTTGTACGAATGTCCGATTTGTACCAGCGAGCTGGGAAAGAGATCGCGTGTCTGGTCTTGCGGGCTCTGCTGGACGGTCTTCCATTTGAGCTGCGTGAAGAAGTGGTCGAGGAACGAGGGGGCGGCGGCTGCTCAGCGACAGGATGGCGAGAATGGGGAGAGTAGTGCGCCTCGCGCGTGGCGCTGTCCTGGTTGCAATCTGCCTCAGGAAGTATTTCCCTCGACTTATACTTGCTGGTGTGAGAAGGAGGTTGATCCGCGCTCGTTTCCTGGCCTGCCGCCGCACTCGTGTGGACAGACTTGCGCGAGGACGCGCAAAGGTTGTCCCCATCCGTGTGATGCGACTTGTCATGCTGGGCCTTGTGCGCCTTGTACGGCTATGGGGCCGACGCAGGATTGCTTTTGTGGAAGGAACTCATCGACAAAGCGTTGCCAGGATACGGATTATGAGAACGGCTGGAGCTGTGGTGAGATCTGTGGTGATTTGCTACCTTGTGGAGAGCATACCTGTCCCCGGCCGTGTCATGAAGGCTTGTGTGGCTCTTGTGAAGAGAAGATCGAAGCACGGTGTTACTGTGGAAAAGTACAGACCGAGATGCTGTGCAGTTCGAAGGACGAAGAGTTGGATAGTGAATTGATGCGGGAGGACGACATTGAGGAGTGGACTGGCTGCTTTAGCTGTGGAGATGAGTGCAGTCGCCCCTTTGACTGTGGTGTTCATTTCTGCCAAAAAAGCTGCCATGCGCAAGATGCACATCCGGCTCACTGTCCGCGATCCCCGGATGTGGTCTTTGACTGCCCTTGCGGAAAGACACCTCTGGACCAGATTGCTGGCTATTCACCCCGGACGTCTTGCGAGGATCCGATCCCGAATTGCACCAAGCCTTGTGGAAAGCCGCTGGCCTGTGGACATCCATGCACCAAGGTCTGCCATACCGGGTCTTGTGGGCCCTGCTTCCAGAACGTGCCCATCGAGTGCCGCTGTGGACGCAACACATTCACAACAATGTGTCCTCAGGGTGAGATGCAACCGCCGCAGTGCTTTCGTATCTGCAAGGCCGGGTTGCACTGTGGCCGTCATGCCTGCACTGAGCGATGCTGTCCCGGCGAGCAAAAGGCCATTGAGCGTCAGGCTATCCGCCGGAAGCTCAAGTCTCACCTGCGGCCTAGCGACGAGGACTTTGAGGCTGAGCATATCTGTACCCGGGTCTGTGGCCGTATGCTGAAATGCGGACGGCACACATGCCCGGAGATCTGTCACAAGGGGCCCTGCAACACCTGCAGAGAGGCTATCTTCGAGGAGATTCCGTGTAACTGCGGTCGATCTATCTTGCATCCGCCTTTGCCCTGCGGGACACAGCCGCCGGCATGCTCGTTTCCATGCGAGCGTCCCAAGCCGTGTGGCCATCCTCAGACGTCCCATAACTGCCATACCGACGACGAAAGTTGCCCCAAGTGTCCATATCTGACAGAGAAGACCTGCCTCTGCGGCAAGAAAGTTCTGAAGAATCAGCCCTGCTGGCTTACGGACGCCCGCTGTGGCCAGGTCTGCGGCCAGCTGCTCAAATGCGGCTCCCACACCTGCCAGAAACACTGTCACCGGCCTGGAGAGTGCGAGGATGCTACGAAGCCCTGCCAGCAGGCATGCGGCAAGACAAAGACAATGTGTGGCCACCCCTGCACCGACCCATGCCATGCACCCTATCCATGCCCGGAGAAGACGCCCTGCAAGTCCATGATCACGGTAACATGTGACTGTGGACGACTCCGCCAGGAGCGTCGCTGCAACGCCGCCAAGGCCGTTGTTTCCAAGGGCCAGCTTCAGCAAGCGCAGCGCGGGCCAGCCGTGACACCGCTATCATGCGACGATGAATGCGCTCGCCTTGAACGGAACCGGTCTCTTGCCTCCGCTTTAGGAGTAGACATCAACCCAACAACCACCGTCTCGCAATCCCTCACCTCTACCAACCTCCCCTACTCCGCCGAAACCCTCGACATCTACATCCAACTTTCCTCCTCCCACCCCTTGTCCACCCTACAAACCATTGAATCCACCCTCCACACCCTAGCTACCACATCAACCGAGCGATCCACGCGCTTCCAACCCGCTAAATCCTCCCTCCGCGCCTTCACCCACTCTCTCGCAGCAGACTGGGGCTTCACTAGCGAAAGCTTCGACCCGGAACCCCACCGCCACGTCTTCGTATTGAAGTCCACTCTCTGGACTCCGCCCGTGTTCGGCACCGGCAACGGCACGGCCATTGGTATCGGCGGCATGAGCGTGGGCGACTGCGTCAAGCTGCGTGATCGCCAGCGCCTAAAGGAACAAGAAGCGCAGCGTCTCGCCGCCGCGGAGGCCAAAGCCCAACGTGAAGCGGCACGCGCACATACCAATGGATCCGGCGAGGGCGGCTGGGCACAGGTGGCTGCTTCGAAGAGAAGCAATCTGACTCTCGGTGCGGGACGGGCTTCAGCTCCTTCTTCTGCGTCTACGTCTGGAACGGCTACTCCGGCTGCTGTAGCACCGTGGTCTACTTCTACTATGTATGCTGCGCTGGATCGGGATGTTGGCGATGCGGCACAGCCTAAGAAGGAGAAGTTGGTACTTCGGTCGGGAGTGAAGGGGTCGAGAAGTCAGGGGTCGTCGGTAGAGAGAGAGAAGGATGGCTCGACTGCTGGTGGGGGTGATGCTTAGTTCTGAATGAGTTGATGAGTGATTCTTCCAACGCTAAACCCTTCTATGGGTCTAGTGTGGGAATGTTCATGTCGTGCTTTCTTTTTCATGATGAATGGCCCATTGTTGCAAAGTTTAGCGTGCATATATGGCGGCTGGGTAGTTTCAAGCTACGAAAAAAACACAATGGATGTTGTAATTGATAAAAGCAATAACAAATAGGATGAAGAGAGAGAAATATTATACCCTTTTTAGCATACTAATTACCAATCTGGTAAAGAAAGAAGTAGAAACATCATTAGAAATAGAATCACCCCCATTGCCCACATCCCAGCTTTAGAAATAAATTCATTCCCATTGACTAACACCCACCAAGATCATCATGAACCAGCCAGCCAAAGCCAGCCGCTTTCCCGGAACCCCAAATCATACCAAGAAAACCAACCCATTTAATGCTTACTTCTTCCTCGAACAATCCATTACCAAAGAATCAAGCTTCCCACCGCCGCACCTCGTAATTAAACCCCATGTGCATGTGCGGAGTACAAACTATGAACATCCTCGTGATCGGAAGACAAATTCCCCCTCCCCCCCAAAGATCGAATCACAATCATCAGATATGATAATTGATAAGATTAGATCAATTGTGACTGGACGTGCAAAAACACACTAGAGATACGTACGTGCTATGCTGATCTTTCGTTTCAGCTTTTTTTTTTCCCGTCAGGCACGATTGCGCTGATCATATTCTCCTTTTTGAGGGTTAGTCTGGTGTAGTACGTAGTGATTAGTCTAGATACGATACGGTGTGATGCGCGAGTGAAAGTCTTGTTTAGCGTCCGCACCATGTCTGTTTCGGTGAGTGAGTGAGTGGCTCAGGCTGAGAGAATTTAATTTACTGGATTGGTCGTGTGGGTCCACACTTGGAGTAGACGTCCAGTCGATTTGCTGGCTTTGCGCCGTGTGGGTGGGAAAGGAAAGGACCCTTGGAAGTTAGAATGAATCTTTGGGGTTTGGACTGGACCCTGGTGCAGATTCTACTACGTACTGTTACTTTGTACGGAGTACATATTTTCTTGGTTGTTTTGTACTCAGTGCGAACAATCAATTGAATTATGTTTACTGTTGATGGAGGTTTATGTTCCCATCGGAAGGAAATATGCAATGAGAAAAGGAACGGAGGATTTTCGTGGTCGTGTGTACGACAACGTGGGATGATCCCCATGATGATAACGACGAAGGGGTGATGAGCCGGGCACGCCGATGGATGGATGGATCGATTGGAGTGGATTGGATTGGACTGGGTCTGATTTGCATTCTGTGCTCCCAGCTGAGATTCTGTTTGCTGTCTTGTTACTCCGTACTCCACCCGGAGTTTCCGTTGATGACGATCGGGTGTTGGGTTAGTGTTGGTCACTCACATTCAGGGTTGACTTATTCACTTGGAGTAGGATGTTATCAGATTGATATGGGAATATCAATTAATCACTACCTATCAATCTACGGAGTAGAGGTAATATATTCATCTCTCATCACCACACCATAGACAGTAATAATCCGGGAATACACTACAAGACTGACCAAGTGAGACAACCATCCGGACTGGCGATCGCCGAACAAATCAAAGCCGTCAACAAACCCAGTGAACTTTTTCACGAACCGAGTCGCACTTGTCACTCGCAGTCCTTGATTGGTGTTGATGGGGCAGTTTATCTGATCCGTCGCGGGTTATCAGATCGGGGCCAGTGGGATATTTTTATTTCTTTTATTTTCATTGGCATGGATGGCATTTGCTGCTGACACTGACTCTTGACTCTCTAGAGTCTAGCTAGGGGTTTAAGTGATCGGCTTCCCCCCTCCCCCCGCCGTTCGTTCATTTCTTAACCTAGTTCCATCTTTTTCTGCTTTGCAGCGCGTCTCGTGCGGGTAGTGATTAATTATTATCCTTTTGGTTGGCTTGTTGGTTAGATACAAATACGTCTGTCTGACTGTGTCGGATGATTCCTGCTCCTCCCTGGATTTGATCTCCATCCCTTCCATCCCTTCCCTTCTTTACTTTCCTTCTTTCTTTATTCTAGGTTGCTTGGCGATTGGGGTTACTAGGGGTCATATACGACTCTAAGAAGCATAAGGCTTCACTTCTCTTCTTCTTAACCATGCGCCTCTTCAAGGAGGAAAAGACGACCACCGAAGCCAACCATGAGGTCTCTGTGTCTGCCGAGTCCCAGACCAAGGAAGTCGTCTCTGGCCATGACGACGGCGTCTTCTACAGCTCAGACCAGTCACGACTGAGTCTGGAAGCGCAAAACGAAAAAGAAATCGAGGCTCACCCGGACCAAGTCACCAAGGATGCCCAGCTGGGAGTGCAGAAAGCTGAAGCCGCGGCCCTAGTCTGGAGTAAGAAAGCTGTCTATGCTACTTATGCTTGGTATTTACCCTTCTTCCAATGTAACGTACGATCCATCTAACTGGTATAGGATCTGGGTATGCTTCTTCCTCCTCGCCCTCAACAACTCCATCAGCGGCACCGTCATCAACCGCGCCTACGCCGACTTCAAGGCCGCCCCCCAAGTCAGCACAGCCAGTATCCTCTACAGCATCATCGGCGGCGTGCTGAAGCTGCCGATCGCGAAGACGTTGAACATCTGGGGCCGTGCCGAGGGTTTAATCGTATGGGTGGTCATCTACACCATTGGACTGATTGTGCTGGCTGCGTGTGATGGTCCGAATTCTTATGCTGCGGGCTATGTGCTCTTCTACGTGGGCTACTCGGGTATCTACCTCGTACTGGACGTTTATATCGCCGATACCTCCGGCTTGCAGAACCGGGCGTTTACGTTTGCGTTTGCTAGCACCCCGTTCATCTGTACCGCGTTTACGGGCCCTCTGGCGGGTGAGTCGTTCCTCAAGGTGGCGACGTGGCGCTGGGCGTATGGGGTGTTTGCTATCGTTATGCCGGTGGTGTTTGCGCCGTTGGTGGTGGTGTTGAAGTATTACCAGCGCAAGGCGGAGAGCATGGGATTGTTGAAGAAGGAGGACAGTGGAAGGACGACGATGCAGTCCATCGTTCACTACATTCATGAGTTTGACTGTATGTCGTGCCCTATCCCCCGTCTACTTGCTGTTATACTAACGAGCCAGTGATTGGCGCATTTCTGCTCATGGCCGCATGGGTCCTGCTCCTCCTCCCCTTCAGTCTGCAACAGTACGGACGCGCGCAATACAAGAGCGCCAAGTTCATCGCCATGATCATCGTCGGCTTCTGGCTGCTGGTTGCGTTTGCCGTGTGGGAGAAATGGTTCACGCGCAAGCACTTCGTGCGGTATGAGTTGCTGCGACAGCGCACTGTGCTAGGAGCGTGTATTATGTCCGCGGTGTCGTATTTCAGCTTCTACTGCTGGGACCTATACTTCTACGACTTTTGCATCGTGGTGTTCAACCTCAGCGTGTCGATGACCGGCTACATGACGCAGATTTACAACGTCGGATCATGTTTCTGGGGCGTTGTCTTCGGTCTTTGGATCCGCTACACTAAGCACTTCAAGTACACTTGTCTGTTCTTCGGACTGCCACTGCTTTGTCTGGGTGCTGGACTGATGATCCATTTCCGCGGCGAAGGCGGCAACGACATCAACTACGTGATCATGTCGCAGATCTTCATTGCCTTCGGCGGCGGTACGATCGTCATTGGTGATGATATGGCGGTGATGGCTGCTGCCGATCGCGAGGGTGTGCCCATGATGTTGTCGCTGTTGGGGCTATTTTCCAGTCTGGGCGGCGCTATTGGGTATGCTGTTGCTGCGGCGGTGTATACCAATATCTTCCCGCAGGCGTTGGAGAGTCGTCTTCCTGCGGAGTTGAAGTCGAATACGACGGATATTTATCTGGGTGGGTATACGACGCAGATGACCTATCCGGTGGGATCGCCCACCCGGACTGCGGTGGATTATGCCTGGGGAAGAAGTCAGATGTATGGGTCTGTTGCTGGCACGGCGATTTTGGCGTTGGGATTCCCGGCGATTGCGGTTTGGAAGAATTACCGGACTGATAAGAAGCAGAATAAGGGTACGATGATTTAGTTGGATGTGTACCTGTTGATGGATAGTGAGAGGGGGTGGTGAATGTTGGGTGTTTTACGTTCTTACAATCTTATTGTTCTACCTTAATATCCCTGTATTATTATTCAAGGTTTAAATCTATTGATCCTCTGTATGCATCTATCCCTGCCATCCCTGCATAAATAACCCCGCTTGAATGTCTCCCTGCATTGCTGTCTGTCGATCTCCCCCTCCACAACAATGATGCCTCCTCTATTCCCCGTATCTGGTGTCACATATCCCCTAGGGAAGTTCCAACACTCCCATCAGCACACTCACCCCCCACCATGCGCCCCCTCCAGCCCTACCTCCTCCACATCCTTCCTCTCCTCCCACTCACCCACAGCAGCAACACCAATACCAACAGCAGCACCGACATTCTCACCCACATTAACCCACTCATCGGCACCACCAACGGCGGCAATGTCTTCGCCGGCGCGAACCTCCCCTACGGCATGGCCAAAGCCGTCGCCGACGTGGACGGCCAAAACACTGCAGGCTTCTCCCCAGACAACAGCAACATCACAGGCTTCTCGGCCCTCCACGACTCCGGCACCGGCGGGAACCCTTCCCTAGGCAACTTTCCCTTATTCCCTCAATACTGCGTCGATGATGTCCTCGACAACTGTCCCTTTCCCAAGTCTGCCCGCGCCGTACATTACCAGAATGGCTCGGTCGTGGCAAGGCCGGGGTACTTTGCCCTGACGATGACAAATGACATACATGCGGAGATGACTACGACGCAGCATGCGGCGCTGTTTCGGTTTAATTTCCCGGATACGGGGTTGAGTCCGATGATATTGTTGGATTTGACGGACTTGTGGGAGAGTAGGCAGAATGCGTCGATTAGTGTGGATGAGAGGACCGGGGGGATTAGGGCCAGTGGGACGTTTCTGCCCAGTTTCGGGGCTGGGGAGTATGCTTCGTATGTGTGTGTGGATTTCGCGGGGGCGAGGGTGAAAGATACAGGGGTTTGGGTGAATGATGCCGGGGGTGTGGAGAGGAAGGAGTTGTTTGTCACTCGGGGGTTTAATAACTTCTATCTTCAGGCCGGTGGGTTCGTGAGGTTTGAGAGGCCTGGTAATGGGACGGTGAGTGTTAGGGTTGGGGTCAGTTATGTTAGTACGAAGAAGGCGTGTGAGAATGCAAGAGTGGAGATTCCGAGTCCGTTGGAGGACTTTGATGCGATACGGGCAGCTGCGGAGGATGCATGGAGGGAGAAGTTGAGTCCTGTTGAGATGACACCTGGGAATACGAGTGCGAGTGCTGCCCTGCAGACTATGTTCTGGACGGGCATTTATAGAACCATGCTGGATCCGCAGGATCTGACCGGGGAGAATCCCCTCTGGGAGAGTGCTGAGCCGTACTTTGATTCTTTCTATTGGTATCCCCACCCCCCCTGCCCTAATCATTTACATCACTGCAAGCGTGGTTGGTATACTGACATCTCCAGCATCTGGGACGCCTTCCGCGCCCAACACCCTCTGCTCACCATCATCGACCCGACCACTCAATCCCGCATCGTCCGCAGTCTCCTCGACACCTACCGCCACGAAGGCTGGCTCCCAGACTGCCGCATGAGTCTCTGCAAGGGCTGGACACAAGGCGGCTCCAACGCGGACGTCGTCCTCGCCGACGCATTCGTCAAGAACCTCACAGATATCGACTGGAACCTAGCCTACGAAGCAATGGTCAACGACGCCGAGAACGAGCCCCTAGAATGGTCCTACCAAGGCCGAGGCGGGCTCCAAAGCTGGAAGACCCTGAACTACATCCCCTACCACGACTTCGACTACCTCGGCTTCGGCACCAACTCGCGCAGTATCTCCCGGACGTTGGAATACGCATACAACGACTTTTGCGTAGCGACTGTCGCCCGCGGACTAAATAAGACAGACGACTACTTGAAGTATCTTGCGAGATCGACCAATTGGAAGAACCTGTTCAAACCTGACCAACGCTCCTTCTTCCCGAATGGCACTGATACGGGGTTCGTGGGCTTCTTCCAACCCAAGTATCGTAATGGAACTTGGGCACATCAGGATCCGATGGATTGTAGTCCCCTTGCCACGGGGCCGACGTGGTGCTCGTTGACGAGTAATCCGTCGGAGACGTTTGAATCGAGTATTTGGGAATATCAATTGTATGCCCCCCAACCCTCGTACCCATATCCCCCTTACCCTAATCCCCCCAATACAACAACCAACTACTACTAATAATAAAAAATAAATGGATAGCTACGTCCCCCACGACCTCTCAACCCTAATAACCAGCTACCTCTCCGGCCCTACCTCCTTCACATCCCGGCTATCCACATTCCACTCCACGGCGCTAGCAGACTACAGCAACGAACCCGTCTTCCTGACCGTCTACCAATACCACTATGCCTCGCGCCCCGCCTTATCCTCGCGTCTCATCCACACTCTCATCCCATCGGTATTCAATACCTCTCGGTCCGGTATCCCCGGCAACGACGACTCCGGGGCAATGGCGGCGTTCACGGTGTTTGGGATCATGGGCTTGTTCCCGAACCCGGGACAGAATGTGTATTTGATTTCGGCGCCGTTTGTGGAGGAGGTTAGGGTTAGGAATGGGATCACTGGGAAGGAGGCGGTGGTGAGGGTTAGGGGGGATGTTGGGGTGGGTGTTGGGGGGAAGGTGGTGAAGAGGGCGTGGTTGGATGGCGAGATGTATACGAGGTGTTGGATTGGTCATGAGTTTTTAGTAAACGGGGGTGTGTTGGAGGTGGAGTTGGGGAGTGGAGGGGAGGATGAAGAGGAAAGTGAGTGGGGGACTGGGGTGGGTGAGGGGCCGCCGAGTTGGGGGGGTGGGATGGAGGTGTAGTTGTAGTTGTTGTAGATGCGTTGTTGGTGATTGAGGTTGGGACTTGGAGGGTATAGATGGTGATGTTGGTGGAGTGTTGAGTAACCACTCTGTTGATGGTGTGAAGCACTAGTCCAGAGGTTGCAATGAATGGTACGTTTCTAGATGAATTCAACTGGATAGATCTTTCATAACTATGCTAGCTTTATCATATCAAGGTATATAGTAATTCCTAACAGCATCAAGTTTATAGTGGTAGTGGTATAATATCAACTATAAAGCCTCCCCTTCACCGGCATCGTAACATCAAACGAAGTGAACGTGCAATGACCATAATCTTCCTGACCACCTCCACCTCCATCCCCAGCTTCAACCATAAACCTCGTCTCTACACCTGTATCCAAATCCACCCGTACAAACTGATCTATCCCAACAACCTCGCCCCACGCAACAGCCTTGAGCCCCGCATCATCATCACCCTGAGGAGGATGACACGCAGCACTAATCGCCGCACTACAATGTGCTGCAATCGGCATCCGGGACCGAAACCTCTTCATCCCCAGCGCTAAGAGCGAGAAAAACGATACACCCTCCAGGATAGTAATGATAACAATGGCGATAGGAGAAAAGCCGCAACCCTTGATAGAGGTATTCGTATCCTCATGGCCAAAAACATCATACACCGTGATGTTGACGTAGAAAAAGCTTTCAGAAAGCAGCCAGTGCAGGGCAACAGACATAATGAAGAGCGGGATGCTGTAGCGGTAAGGCAGGGCGAGGTAGTACGTTGAGCGTTGTTGCCCGCGGGGCCAGGAGACGCGGAGGGGTTTCCGGTCAATGGCGTAGTCGTTGTATTCGGCTGTGACGAGCATGCAGGAGAGGAGACTGTTGGTGGTGAAGTAGATGATGGAGAAAACTAGTTGGGGGGTGTTGCTTAGCAGGACGAGGGCGATCATGTTGTTTCCTGGAAAGCGGATATTAGTTTGGGAGTTGGCGGAGCCGAATCCTAGGCTCCATTGCTCGGAGAGGGACCAGCCGTCTCCTTCGATGATTAGGTCGAAGTATATCAAGTAGGAGATGAAGAAGCAGACGGCGAACCTGTACGTTTAGGTTAGATTGTGAGGATATGCGAGGCATGGGGCACGGACATGAATACTATACTCGCCCAGCGGCACAAACTGGCCGCCTGAAACCATCGTTTTCGACGTGGTAGCATTCTCGGGAAGGTTTCTGAAGAATCTGCCTGCTCCAAAATGCGACGGTTTTCCATGGGAATGTCGGTCTGGTTTTCTGGGTCACGGCGAATTCTCTTTCGTATGAGCTCCTTCCATCGGGGCAATGGCTCCCATCGATGCGGCCCTCGAGCCATATCAGCCCGGGACATGAGACAGCGGCCCTTGGTTGTGGGATCTGGCTGGGCGAGGAAGGACGATATGGCATCTCCTACTCGCAAGAAGATCTCAGAGCGGTCCGTTCTGGCAGTCAAGTACATGCAGACTACCTTGGTGAGGTTGAACAGAATCACGGCCAGCGCAATCGATGGACTGAAAAGAAGCCGACACCGCTGGGTTATGGTTTTTTCCATACAGTAGGAGATGGGGATTTCCTGGGTATCAACAGCAATTGTTCGCTTAGTCCATTCCACTCCTTCGGCTGTCCACTTCCCTTCATCAACTAACTTCTCGACTTTGCTTTCCCCCACATTCTTCACGTAGTCATATACTGATGAATAGCTCCATTGGAGACTGCTTGCATTGCCAAAGTACTGTCGCTCAGCCACTAAGATCAGGGTTCCGAGATGCGTGTTATATTCCACATCATACTTTTTCACGCACTCAGCATTACTCAAATTCTGAAAGGTACCGTTGAAGATTTCAGTCTGAATCAGCTCCGGCGTGCTGCCGATGGCTTTCACGAAGGCGCTCCTTCCTCCCGCGCCGACCAAGGACTCAGTCGGCGTTAAATCATCAGGAATGAGCATTGTGCCATAATCGAGCGCAGAGATGGATGAAAATACCACTGAGTTATATCTGATACTCACGTTAGTGGTGGCAGGGTAGGAGTCACTATTACTAACATCATATGAATAGGGATTGAGCTGAGAAGCAAAACCAGCCAGAGAAGTTTCCGCTTGATACTCATGGCTCGAAAGTTCCGAAAGCTCATCACCCCAATATCCAGCCAACGGCGGTTTCGATGAGCTTTGTCGACATCTGTACGGGATGGTCCCGACACGCATTGCATGGCGTAGTTGCTGGCCTCGAGGAGGGCGGTGGACAAGAGGTTAATGACAACATGGATGCCCGTTGCCCATCTACTGGACAATGTGCAATTCCCATTGTACAGTTCAGTGCTAAGGAAACCATGCGAGTTGGCGCTTTGGGAATAGCTGATGCCAATGGCAATGAGCGCTAGCAGAATATTCAGAACCGAGATGCCTCCGGCGGCCCATGTACCGAGGAGGACACCATGAATCCACTCCTCGTCGGGATGTGCAGCAGACGATGAAGTTCGGGATGAAAGGAGCGTTGCATATTTGGCACGGACAGGCCATTTCCAGGCTTCGGATGATTCAGCATCATTGTTTGGTGGCTCGTGTCCGTTCCATATTGTTTTGATCCTCATATCGAGCCAGGGAGAATACAGGAGCACAAATCAGATGGCTCTTTCATTTTTTCGGTACTTTAGCCACGCTATCTTTGCATATGTATTTATGTTTTGATGAAAATTTATTATCCCTCAGCCTGTTCAAGCAAACGCCTCCTAGCTTAAATTTGGTGCACATTGACCAAGCCCAATAGTGCTAGTAATGGTCGGCCCGGCGTTCCGATTGGTGCTGCGCCCTGAAGACGCGTATACAGAAGCTAGAAACATGCTTAGCATGTAGTAGCTCGAGCTTTGTGGAAATTGCAGCAGTTCTTGCTCGACGGGGCTGAAGTGGGTCGAGTGGCAAGCGCTAGATAGTTTTGAACAAGTCCGAATCTTCGGCCAGTTAGCATATTTGTCGCCAGTGATTTGTTTTTTTATCACATCTAGGACAGTCCTATAGTTAGTATATATGCATTGTGTGCTTGCTGTTTAAAGGTGTATTATGAGTCTCCATCTTCTTGCTTCGGGGTGGGTCAGTGGAGTGGATGTGAATCACAAGATACACCCAAGACGTAACACTGGAAACCCACTCGGATTGGGCACCTACATGCCAGATAAGGAAATATCAAGTGTGTCCAGGGCAATGCAGGAGCAGTCAATGGTCGAAATATGAACCGTATGCAGCTGTAAGCGACAAGTGGGCTTCAGGCTAATGGTAAGTAATAGGATCACTCCCTCATGGATCAAGGTTGTGGAAAGTGCACTTCGCTTATAACATTTCCTTCAGTTAATATTCTTCTTAGTGCCTTGCTTTAAGTTGACTGTATCTAGACTGCTACCTGTATGGTATACCGTTCCGGTTGGGTTGGAATGACCGTCGACGCGACATCACTTAACAGGAAGATAACGAGAAAATACTAAGTATCGACTCGTTCGATGTAAGGCCAGTGTGGAAGGTTGAACATATGCTGTGCTTGTCTGGCCAAACTCATTCTATGTGCCTCGTATTCTTGCAGGACAACATCAGGCTGTGTTATCTACCCTAAACCATGTTGCAGATGAGCATCCGTTCGGGCGACCGTTGGCCAGCCACGGTGTTTCATCATATCAAGAGGTGGCACGGTTGTCGTGACCCCCGCTTGCGAAGGATGAAGCCATAGCGATTCTGTGTGAAAGTGTGGCTCGCTACTTCGGCCCTGTGGGAAGGTGGTAAACGTGATGGAGTATAAAGGGTGATCAGCCGTCGTTGCCGGAGTTGGGCTGATAACAAAAGTGTAGATGCGGGCGTGATCTGGGGGAAGCATTTCTTTATATATTGCACCCTCCTCAAGCTCCATGATCCGTGTGCAGACGGCGTGATAGTTCGGGGTATAAAAGATCAGTTCTTGCTTCGGAATCCGTTGTAGAAGATCCAGGGCTCGACGGCGAAGGTCCGGCCAGCGGCATTTCCAGGCGACGGCCTGCAACGGATACAACAGCTGTACGTCCAGATTTATCGTTTTGGAGACATCATCCGGGTAGTGGTCTGAGTCACTGAGCAGACGTTCGGCAATTGAGACAATATCCTCGTAGACAGCGCGGAAGTCATCCCAGCCGGATTCATTAGCCACACGATACCGATCAAGTCCTAGACGGTAACAATACCAGAACATGCGAGTAGCATCAATCTCGTTATTTATGGCCGGTCCGCATTCCGACTGCTTCCGTTGCACTAGCAATTCAAAGCTTGCCACCCATCGCTTGGCGGCATGCTCAAAAGTTTCGGCCCATTGCTGCACGGGTGAGTGCGGGAGGTTCGTCAGTCTGGCCAACTCTTGCCGGTTGGGGAATTCTCCGATGTAGTAAAGCATCAAGTCGAGAAGGGCGATGCGTGCCTGATGGAATGTTCGGAACCGCCAGTCCATTAAGAGCTTGCCTTGAGCATCCACGGGATTGACATGTACTTTTTCTTGTGGCGCACTGACGAGGTGTTTGAGTGCCGACATTTCGTACGTGTTCAAAGAAAAAAAGTTCAATATAGGGGCCAATTCAGCATCCACCCAATTTGTCTGAGAACTCTGGGTGCAGCAGGATCGCTCTCGCTGCGCCCGCCAGGACCGCACCAGATTCAGCCCGCTTGTGATATGCGATGTAACCCCAGTAGCATTTCCTCGGAGAAACTCGAGGGACGCGAACAAGATGCTGGCTGCTATGACTAGAGGCACCGCGTCTATGCCTGATGAAACCTTATCAATGGTAGTGCGAATGGCCCGGTTATAAAGATGTAGTGCCAAGTCGGACTTGGAAGATTGCCAACGGTGTGCCATTGCCGGAGTCGTAGACATCCCCTCTGCTTCATACAGAAACCCAATCGCAGCAATAGCTTGGCGGATCGTAGGTTCGGTCAGGCTGAGCTGTAAAACCGTGCGGGTCCAGAACGAAGCAGTGAAGTAACCAGCTAGATACGCTGCAGACTTGCGAAAGAAGAACTCGAGGGCTCGGGACTCAGCCGGACTGACAAACGCAGTAACTTGTGCCAACTGCTTTGCGATGCGTATCGAATAATGCATGGGCATATAACCATCACATTTTCGGTTCGTACTGGTACATCTATCCGGGAGGTTAGTGTGGGGTTTCCACAGCAAAGGCGTCATCCCAATGTTTGCATACCGAAGACAAGCCGGCTTGCGTTCATCACATTTGACGCGACGGATCCTGTCGTGGCCGCCAGATGAAGGGTTAGCAGACTGACCCAGAAGAGCAGGTAGACAGAGGGTTTCTCGCTCACCGACATGTAATGCAGCCCTTCCGCGACCTGGTAGATCCAAACCGTTGCCGCTGGTGCGGGGAGGAGTTCTCCGCATTCATTTTTGTCGAAGAGCTGGAAGATCTGAGCAGTCACGTTCAGATTAGAGGACCACTGGTACCATGCACCTTGGATTTCCTTCTGGCTGATCTGTGTTCTGCAATGCTCAACCTGCTCAATGGCCCCCATAAACCGCCGTCACGTGGTATTGACAGGGATCTGGCCGCATTTCGGACGTTGACTGGATGAATGGGCTGCTAGTCACCCGTAGTGGAAGACCGGGCATCTGAGCCCCACTACTCGTTCAGCATGAGGATATACCCAAGAAAATACCTGCTAAGAATGCTTTGCGACTACTAGTGATGAACGGTCATCTCGCACGTATGGATGCTGTGAAGATGTAAAGGAGCAGGTGATACCACCTCGATATAAATTGATGTATAACAGCCTCGGTTTGTTTGGAGTGGAGAACACCCATTGGAGATGGAAGCAGGGCGTATGAACGAGGAATCTTGTAAATCCTAGTTTACAATGAAGACTGTGAGTGCCAGATAGTATATCCCGTACGGTGTAGGACGGTCAAGGCTGGAAGACTTTCTTCCTTCCCTCGTGAAGCGACTCGGGGTCCTGAGTGGGGACGATAAGTTGCTGCTGCCTTGGACTGTATATGAGCCTAGTGTAAGATTCTCGAGCTGACCTGACGGTTCAGTAAGAGGACTCTGAATCACGTGTGGAACAGGCATCCACGCGGATAGAAGACGACCAAAAGCATTGCAAATGAATGGTCCTTGTGGCTCAGTCCATCTAAGAAATAACATTATTTGTACAACTAAAGTTCCACAGGATCCGCCCATGTCAGGTACATAGCTGAGTAAGCAGGATACCACCAATCAGCAGCCTTGTTAGATAAGCTGACACCGGCAGAACCTGCCACAAAGGCCACAGGCCCGGCACCAGCTTCCATTCCCCAAACGGCGAGACCCGATCCCGATGGATGGTGGATAGACAGTCGGGCCTTACCCGCAGCTCTTGTTTCTCTTATTTCCATCGTTCCATCTCCAACAGCCATTCTCTATCATATTTCTGCATTTGGGCTTGGTCTGTCCGCTGCATTGATTCTCTTGCTATCGGACTGTGTGCCGTAATTATTCTGATGTTTCTCACCCCACGCACTATTAGTACTGCTTAACCTATTCATTACAACCAAAGACTACCAGTACTATCGTCGCGCAGCTTCCACCTTAACCGGAACTAGATAAGTTTGCCCTTGACGAACTACGTCATTCCCCTTCCGTGCCTGGCACTCTTCCGAATGCCCTCCCGCCGCAGTCATACCAAGTCCCGGAAGGGTTGTCTCCAATGTAAGAAACGGCATGTGAAGGTCTGACTTCCTCTCTTTTATCTTCTTTCTCTTCTCACTGGCTCGCTACCTCTTCCCGCTCCCCGGATCGGCAGTTTATACCCCATCGCAGTCGTCGGTATAATTACACTACACATGCTGTTCCATTCCTCCCAGCAGTATCATTCGTGCTATTGGTCTCATGCTGACCCACGGAGTAGTGCGACGAAGAGACACCACGATGTGGCCTATGCAAGAAACGAAGATTGGATTGCACATACCCTCCATCAAGTGAAGCGGACAGCCAGCATGCATCCACACCCCAGGATATGCCTGATGCTTTTCCTGGTCCCGAAGGAGAATCGCAATCAGACAGGATGCTTGAGATGAAACTATTCCACCACTATGTTACAGAGACATACATCACGCTCTGTCAAGGCCGTCTAGATGCTCACCACTTCCAAGTGGTCGTCCCACGGATCGCGGTCTCTCATGCCTTCTTGCTGGACAGCCTACTAGGATTGTCTGCTCTTCATCTAGCGTACCTGAACACTCACGATAACCGTTCATGGCTAGAAATCGCACTCAAATACCAGAATCGAGCATGTTCAGCATTCACCCGTGTACTCGCAGAAATGACTCCCGAGAATTGCGCACCAGCCTTCCTGTGCTCCATCTTCATTATGCTCTGCGCAACAGCCTACCCGTGTGTTACCCAGGACAAACATACATTCGAGCCTCTATCCCATGTTTTGGAGATTCGACAGCTCATAGCGGGCTGCGCGTTTCTTTTCAAGCAGCTTAGCGGCATGGAGTATCGGGGCGACCTCCAGGGGTGGCTGAAGTATAAGGATGACGAGGTCGACCAAGATGGAAATCCCTACCAGTACTTGCCTGCCCTCTTTCTTTGGATAACAACAGGATGCTAATATATCCCTAGTGTACAGGAATCTCAGATCAAACTACGCAGGTATGTCTCTAAAATCTCCGCGGGAAGTTAGTCAAGTAATGCTAATAACTACAAGTGCCATTTTGGAGTCTTTGCAGCGGGTGCAAGACAAATTCACCAGCCTTGGTGGGCCGAACCAGACTACATACCAAAATACGAGGGATATTCTTCATGAAGCCATCAAACGATGGCCGTTCGGTGGCCCAAACGGTGGCATCATTGCGTGGCCCATAAACATCAGCGAAGACTACATTGCTCTGCTGAAAAGTGGAGACTGGGTGGGCCGCGTGCTATTTCTACACTACGGGGTAGGATTGCACCTTCTCTCCGACAAGTGGTTTGTCCGCGACTGGGGCCGGCGTCTTATTGAAACAGTCCTGCAATCGGAGGAAGATATCCCCCCTATTTGGACCGAAACCATTACATGGACAAAGGAGGCCGTGGAGCTCTAAAAGGTGACAGGGGCAAACGAGAAACTGTTGCGAATGGGCTCTGCTATATACGGGAGGAAAGCGCAGATAACTAGCGACAATGATGTGACACTATCAAGTAGTCAAAAGTCAAAGCAAAGATGTGAGGTAAGGGTTTCTGTCACGTCTATGGGCGATTACATACCATGACTCGACGATCCGGGGAACTTCAACGAGCTTGGCGTGATGGCTGCACTTCAATTGGAGAGGTCACGGTTCGGCTCATTACGGTGAGCAGGCCGAACCCGGCCAGCGTTATCGCGTGACTTGGGCCCGCGGGTGGCGGCTGACTTCCCGTTGGCGGAACCGCCCTCGATAAGCACGACCCAAGAATGCGGAGTCCCAGTCATGACTCTTGATTGCAGGCTGGCATCCACAATCCCTCGCTGCTTATCTCGGCCAGGGCTGTCCCCGATATGGCCGGGGTGAAGGCTTTCCTTCTTTCTTGTTTCCCTGCGTTCGCTGGGGCAGGTCTTCTTTTCTCTCCCTTCTACTTTCTTAGGGTAGTGTGTGTCTGCGAATAGGGCGTCCTCTAATCCTGGCGCAAAGTCTCACAAGGGCTCTCCGATGCTGATCCTCCGCACCTGCTAAGTCTCGCGGACGTATCTACGCTTTCGCTTTGACCCTCCCCAACCCGACGTCGAATTTCTTTGCGGCATGGAGACCTACCAGCCAAGGCAAAATTCGAGCCAAGATGCGGAGAAGCAGGTACTTAGACCGAGTCGCTCTGTCAACCCTCTTTCGTGCAACTTTGCGCGATTATTAAATTGTGTTTCTAACGCTCTCTGTTCCTAAAGCCACTTCTCGAAACCTGGGAGACCCCGGCTGGGCGATCGCAGTGGACCTTGTTACATGATAAGCGACCCAGCGCTTCAACTATGTTCCGCCTTGCGAAATTCACAATATTGTCGACTCTCCTTTTAACCATAATAACGATACATCTGCCAAGTGTGCTCACCTCGCCTCTTGGATCTGCGACTCGCCGGCTTGACCGAGCGAGTAAATTGGAGGATGGGAAGCGCGGTGCAGTGGCGAGCGAAAGTGCTATCTGCAGTCGCCATGGAACAGATATTATAAACATGGGGGGAAATGCAGCTGACGCGGTGAGAACGATCCAGCCGATCTGTCGTCATGCGGCGCCCTGCTGACTTCAGACTTAGATGGTTGCAACAATGCTCTGCGTTGGAACTGTTGGTGAGTTGGCCTACAATAACTGGAAAAGTGCTTGGACCTGATGTTAGTTGGAAGGCATGTATCATAGTGGAATTGGAGGAGGTGGGTTCATGCTGGTCAAGACCCCTGAAGGCTCTTTCGAGGCCATCGATTTCCGCGAAACTGCCCCGGCGGCCGCTTTCCAGGATATGTTTGAGAATAATACGAAGGCTTCCGTCAGCGGGGGCCTTGCAAGGTGAGCCCTCTTAGGCTCTTGGATGCTGCAATAACTGACATAATCGAAGTGCCGTTCCTGGGGAACTGCGTGGTCTCGGGTATCTCCACAACAAGTATGGCTCGCTCCCCTGGTCAACTGTTGTGCAGCCCGCCATCCAAACCGCACGGGAGGGGTGGTCAGTCGGGCAGGATCTGGTCCGCTATATGAAAGCTGCTGTTGGGGACGACGAAGACTTCCTCTCTCAGGACCCTACCTGGGCGCTCGACTTTGCTCCCAATGGAACCAGGCTCGGTCTGGGTGATACCATTACGCGAAAACGTTATGCGGCCACACTGGAGACCATCGCGAAAGAGGGCCCCGATGCCTTCTACTCTGGATCGATTGCAAAGACCATGATAGATGCGGTACAGAAAGCTAACGGTACAATGACGCTTGAGGACTTGGCCAATTATACGGTCGCTATCCGCAACATCTCAGAAATTGATTATCGCGGCTATCGGATTACTAGCACCCCAGCCCCTTCCAGTGGTATCGTAGCTCTGAACGTTCTCAAAGTTCTGGGTACTTACGGTAACCTTTTTAGTCCGGATACTCTGAACCTGAGCACTCATCGATTGGACGAGGCTATACGGTTTGGATATGGATTGGTACGCTTATCCGCTCTAGTTAACTAGTAGCCAGCTGAATCAGTGGAGGCGATGCTAATTCGTGATATAGAGGACTAATCTAGGAGATCCGTTCTTCCTCGATGGCATGGACACGTATCAGGAAATGATGCTAGCGGATTCCACCATTGAAGAGATTCGAAAGAACATTTCCGACCAGCATACCCAAGCCGTGTCTGCCTACAATCCGCAGGGGTATGAGAGTCTTGAAACGTGGGTGAATCTTGATGGTACCATAGTATTATCAGACAACTGACCTAAGTAGACCGGGTACCTCGCATATTGCTGCCATTGATCACAGTGGGCTTGCCATTTCTGCCATCACGACCATCAATCTGCTTTTTGGCTCCAAAGTCATGGTTCCTGAGACTGGTATCATAATGAATAATGAGATGGATGGTATGCTTCATATTTGCTCCCGCTCACCCCAGTTACTGACTTTTCCTTGAGACTTTTCTATTCCCAATTCGTCCAATTCTTTTGGCTATATCCCTTCTGAGGCAAACTTCATACGACCCGGGAAACGCCCACTGTCCTCTTGTACGCCAGCCATTGTTACACACCCTAACGGAACAGTGTTTTTCGTCGCCGGCTCGGCAGGAGGTAGTCGGATTATCACTGCCACCATCCAGAACATTATACACGCTGTCGACGAGGGTCTTTCAGCGGCAGAGGCCTTGGCCCAGCCGCGTCTTCATGATCAACTGGTTCCGAATCGTGTCACCTTTGAGTACGACTATGACAATGAGACTGTGTCCTTCATGGAGGCAAGAGGTCACAATGTGACCTGGGTAGGTCCAGGGGAGAGCACGGCGCAGGCCATCCGAGTTCTACCGAATGGCACCTTTGACGCTGCCGGGGAGCCTAGACAGGCTGATTCTGGAGGGTTTGCTGTTTGAGGGATTCATAATGCATATGTCCACCCTGACTATACATATATGAGGGTTTTGCGAGCGATACCTTTTGTCTTACATTCACAGTTTTTGGACTTGGGTTGTATTGACGGTTAAAGTATACATATAGCATTAGACTTGAATATTGAAACGAATCATGACAATGTCCGAGGCAGGTATGTACTGCTAATCTTATGCGACGCAAAGAAACGTCTACTCGACGCCCCGCATGGTATCTCCGCACTTTGTTGTGGTATGGGTATAACCCTACCAAGGCACATCACGACGTGTGAATACTTAGAAAAAGTAGAGCAGTACTTTGTACGCCGACTACAATCCCTGCAGCCTGCCACCCCCTTTCACTCCTCGAGTCGATCGGTCTGATGCGCGTCTGTAACAGATGCAAGGACCTGACATGGAAGGGGCGGGACACATCAGATGGCGGGCGTGATCTATCAGAGGTGGCCCGTGCGCTGCCCGGGTTCCGCGTCGGCGCGCGCCAGCAGAATGAGGAATGTGTGCTCTGTCTGTTCCACTGGCTTCCACTTCACCCTCGCCTTGTGGTCGTCGGTTGTGAATGACTTGAGAGTTCCATCGTCTTCGCCGATTGGATGAATGGCTTGAAGCCTTACCATTAGGAATTACTGAGAAAGGCCTCCTTCGTGTTGGATTCATTCACTCTTTCGCGGTCGATGTGGCTGCTCTAGCTTGCGCATATGGCTGTTGGAGTTGCGAGGTTCTGGATATGGCGGATTGGTGTTACTCCTGTGAGTGGATCTCCTGCAGATAGATGGAGAGAGAGGTATGGCGTACTCGTTCACTAATCAATTCACTCTCCGTGTTAGTCTTTTGACTCTTCTCTCTCGAATTCCTGACCATGCGCCTCTACATCTACAATCTATTCCAACACACCGCTGCACTCTTGTTATACACACTCAGTCGGCATCTACCAAACGGAGCCTAGCAGATAGACCGTCAATAATATACAACGCAGCCATGGCAGGTGGCAAGGGAGTCTCCACGTTCCCTTTGGTCCGGATCTCGCCTCCGCATATCAACGTCGACCTCCACAATTCATTCGATGAAGTGACCCAACGCACGGTGGATCAGATACTTTCAGACGAGGCAAGCTTTGAGAACAGCTTTGACGATTATAGCGGTAGCGATGGTATAAACGGAGAGGATGACATGACACGAAGCGGGGGTCACCGCACCTCGGCAATTACCGCTGCTACGCAATCTGCAAACGTGGACTCGCCTTATTTCCCAAGCAAAAAGCGCTCGAAGACTCAGAAGGCGGCACAGAGACACATCAGTCGCATGAACTCGAATGACGAAGAAAACGATACCGAGTCTAGTACGAGTGAGGTTGGGCCTAATGGACACACGATCGTCGATGATGGCGAAACTCTCGATGACGCCTTTGAGGAGGACATCGTCTTCGCGTCTGTGGACTTAGATAAGAGGATGGAACTGCTTACCTTCATCAGCTCCCACCCTTTCATGAAGAAAGGCGAATATCCTGTGCTACGATCCGCGCGACGAAAATTCGTTCGTGAATTACGTCGTAAGAGTCGATCGCTTGGTATGGAAGAGGCTGATCTTGGAAAGCTCGTTGCATATGTCAAAAAGATCTACCTTGAGCTCTATGGCAATGGCCAAATGAGTCTGGATGGTATTGGATTTGGCGAGGAGATCAAGGATGAGCAAACAAGCCCACCGAAGTCTTTTGATAAGGACAACAAGAGGAAGCGAGGCGCCAGCAATGACCAGGGGACAACATCGAAACAAGAGGAAAAGAAGACTACATCGAAGAAAAGAAAGTCGCTCGAACCCATCACAAATGGACACCGTAAAAAGTGTGAAACTGATGGTCCGGACGCAAACATTTCGATAGCGAAGCCTTCCGCGTCTCATTCCAAGGTCAGCCGGGAAAGGACTACAGATGCCGCTAAGGGCATGCCGGCAATTATTATTGATCTATGCCCGGGTGGTAACGAAAGTCCCGAACCAGTCACTACGCAGAATGTCCCGGTCAAATCCCCAATTGCTGGACAGGCCGCAGATAGACATAATGATGGGAATCACAGACTTCCATCACCGCCACATTCTGAGGAAGGATACAAACAAAGCTCCGTTGAGAAGAAGACCACTCAAACCGAGGGGGCAAATACCGAAACACTCCCATCGCAGCAAACATTTATCAAAAGGTCCATGACACTTCACTTCTCTTCGAAATCCCCAGGCCAGCACGTCATTCGTGATTCAGAGGACGAGGAGGAAGAGGGTGAGGAGGATAAGAAGCCCGGATTATCTCAGCCTGTTTCAGCGGAAGATGAACTCCCCTCGGCTACGCAAACCCAGCAGCCTGGATGCCTGCAGAGCGACATAACGCAGCATCCCGATCGTGTGCTGTCCAAGAAAGAAAAGAATAGAAGGAAGCGTGATAATCGCAAACAGCGAAAGAAGAAACATTTTCGCGCAAGCCTTACGAACACTGAACATGTCGCATTGTTGACGAGAGCAGATGACGTTCAACAAGGCCGTGATTTCAAAGAAGCCAATCAAACAGCAAAGCCCACTGCCACAGTGGTCGATGATCTTTCTATGTTGGACGAGGCATTCTGGAATCTGGAGGATTTATAGATACCAATGATTCGCAAAGTTCAATCACCAGCGATGAGGTGAGGTCGAAGTATTTCATCGCCCCCCTGCAATTGAAGAAAGGGAATGTGCATTGCGAAGAGAGAAGAAGTACCCACTCAGAGAATGTTCTCGGTCGGGTACCTGAAGAAACCCGAATTCTCCTATCCAAGCTGAATCTTTCATCAGATTTCCTTTCTACTGATTCAGACTTGAGTGATGTACCTAGCGGTTTCGATGATATTCCATTTGATTATTCTCTCGATGTCTCACCCATTGAAGTACAGCGTGCACCAGAGGCTGTAGAGCCAAGCACGCCGACCAAAGCAACATCAATAGGGGCTGCTTCTGTGCTGCCCAGAACACCGCGTCTGAGGCCTCAGAAGATATCCCCATACTTTCCCAAACCTCTGGTCGACCCTGATTCATGTCTTCCGTTTCCGCCCATCGATGCGCCATCATTCGGATTAGTACAGGAGCAACTTGCCCATGATCCTTTCCGTCTATTGATTGCCACCATTTTCTTGAACCGTACTCGCGGGGGCGTTGCGCTTCCAGTGCTATTCAAAGTGTTTGATCGGTTCCCCACGGTGGAGGCAATGGCATCGACGGACCCATCCACCCTGGCATCTATGATACACTGCCTCGGATTTCAGAACCAGCGAGCGAAAAAGTGCGTTACATTAGCCCAGACCTGGTTGGCCTTTCCACCTACGAAAGGAAAGCGCTACCGCAAACTTCACTACCCCTGCAAGGGAGATGGACGTGATATTGGCGCAGATGAAATCATTGCTGATGATGACGCTCGCGTGGGTTGGGAGATTGCTCACCTCCCTGGTGTCGGACCCTATTCTTTGGACAGCTGGAGGATCTTCTGCCGTGACGAACTCCGAGGACTTGCCTCGGATTGGAGAGGTCAGGGAGCTTCCAAGACATCATTCATTCCTGAGTGGAAATCAGTGTTGCCGCAAGATAAAGAGCTACGGGCGTACTTGACGTGGATGTGGCTGAAAGAGGGTTGGGTGTGGGATAGACACACTGGGGAGAGAACACCGGCGAGTGAACGAGTGATGCGAGCGGCACGTCGAGGAGGGGTGGCTCATGAGGAGGATGGGAATTGGGTTCTGGAGATGTCGCCTGTGAAGAAGGCGTCGAATGGATTGACAGTATGGAGTTAGGCCTTGGCATCTAGGGAAGAGGAGAGTTATTGCTACGCTTATACATTGGGTGTGGTAGCGTTTTGATACCCTGTTGATAACAGACTACCTTTTCTTCGGAAGCTTGACTCGGTTGATACCGTTAGATGTTCATATTATACAACGGGTAAATGTCTTTCGATATCATGACTACAAGTTTAGGGTACTCTGTATAGTGTAGATGACCACGCAGCTAATCTGGCATATAACTATTTCCGATCAATTAAGTAATCACCAAAATAGGCTTCATCCTTTTTGGATACGATCTACCAGCTTCCACTTCGCTTGTGCTGATCCACTTGAAGAGTGCGTGAGTGAGTGAGTCATTGGGTAGCCATCTATCCTTGCCTCAGGCACAAGCCGAGCATAATGCCTGAGGCCAACGGGATCACGCCCCTCGCGATGAATTTAATTAATTAATTAATCGTGAACTTTGATCTTCTTTCTTTCTGGTTGCTGGGAAAAACAACCTTACCGAATACAAGAAAGTGAACCACTCCCAGCATTATCCCTCCAAGACAGCAGCATTATCCAGACCAGCCCATCGCGGTGGCGTGGTCCTTGCTGCTATTTATTTGTACTGAACTGCCTTTCTGTGCTCCCCATTTGGGTTTCTATGCAGCACCACGTCACCGGTGGTCTCCGAGCTTCTAGTTGCTGCTAAACTTGGGAAAATCCCACCACCACCGAATAATCGCTGCGGGGATCCATCCTCTCCGCCAGCCCGTCTCTCACCGCAAAATCCCCCATCCATCCATCCATTTGGCTCGCCATCTTTCCCTTATGCATCGTCCCTGAACTACTCGCTATTTGATTGTTTTATTTCCTCCACCCCCTTCTTCTTCGCTTCTGTCACCTTAGCTAATCGTCGTGATCTTCTTCACTTTCCTCTTTTCGTCTTCCCCCCCGCCGGCCCGCCGCCCACGGGATGTTGCATGCCCTTCAGCAGCGCCTTTGGTGGTTTGGCACAAGCGCCTAGTCAGGCATTCGACCAGTGAGAGTTGCATTCCTCGATATCTCTTAAGCGCCAGACGAACATCAATCGGGTCTCGGGTCGTCCGACTACACCCTTCCTTTCGTGACATTCTCTTGGGAAGCTGACGACTACTCCTCGGTCACTGCTTTTTACTTTTTTTTGATCATCACTTGAAACGAGGTAACTAGACGAAAAAAAAATATCAACCGATCGGACAGTGGGGACGAGAGCAGGAAACAAGGGGTGGAAAGGAAGAACGACAACGCTCTATTGCCGTCTTCTACCCTTCCTTTCACCCTCTTTTTCGAAACCTTTCCACCTTCTTCCACATAATGTTTCTACCGCTGAGACTAAATGAACGAGATCGCGATAGGGACCGGGAGAGAAAGACTTCTTCATCTTCGACCCTTTCATCCAAATCCAGACCACGCAAGAATCGCTCGTCCCACGGACAGACCTCCCGCACTTCAACCAAGGAACACGACCCCGATACTCCCACGGGCCGCGCCTCAACCCCTTCCACGTCTACTTCCAATTCCCGCAAAAAGCGCCGCTCCTCCATGCCTGGGGTCGACAGCGCCAGCCACTCGGGCACAGCCTCGTTCCTCGAGTCGAGGACCAGCCTCCCATATCCGTCCTTCTCCAAAGCCCACAGCAAAGAAGTCATCAGCAAACCGAGCATCCCGACACCAGATCCGACCGACCTGACCGAGGGAGGTAAAGAAGGTAGCAATGGAGATGCGAAGACCCGTGCCGAGAATAACAACCAAGCGCCCCCCAGCCCGCCGCTGACGAGCGTGGACCAGCAATCACACAAGGCAAGCACTGTGGGTAGTAAAGAAGAGAAAGGAGCGGAGGAGAAGCCAGAGAAGCCAAAAACCAAGATTCGGATTAGAGCAGAGTCCACACGGTCATCCTCGAGTCTACGGTCGAAGAAAGATGAGGGTTCCAAGACGAGCAAGCCAACACGGTCGGAGACAGTAAAACCGAAGCGTTCCAGCTATGAGTCTGATTTGCCGTCACGGACAGCCAGTCGCAATTCGACCCGATCAAAGATCGTCGAGGAAACGGCTTCCCCCAAGCGGTCATCCACCCATGCCACTCCCCCTCGCTCCCCCGCGACAGTGCGCGACGTTGGTCCGGACTCAGCAAATGGATCGGACGCAACCATTGCGCCGCCTCATCAGTCTACAGCTTCTCGCAAGCCGAAGAGTCCAGAGAAGCCGCCATCGCGCAATCAGACCCGATCGTCGGCCTCGTCTCGCCCGAGCTTTGGGGCTCGTACACCGGTTGACGCTGCCTATGATTATGGACGACCACCCACAGCGAGCTCTGCCTACGGTGCTCCACCACCGCCACCTCCTCCTCCGGAAGTTCCTGTCTCGATTCCAAAGGTGGACTATCTTCTACAGAATGGTGGGCTAGACCACCGTGTTCCGAAGTCTATGCTCGGCCCTTCTGTTCCCGAGGGTTCGCCGTATGCGCCATCGCCTTCTCAATCCGCGGCAACCAAGATATTTGAACCGTTCAACAGACTTCTCGAGGATTACAATAATGTAATGGCCAAGAACGGGTCGTTAGCGGTTGCCACGGGGTATCGGTCTGTCGCGCGCCGCCTGCTCGATCGCTTGGAAGCGGTGTTTGCCCGTGACATTTCATGCGAGTACTGCAATTGTCTGATGTGTGAGCATGAGACAATGGAAGAACGTCCGTCAGGCGTCAGCTGGGGGGAGGTATTGGAGCTTGTCTCGGGTCGCCGTGAACTTCCCAGCTGGCCGGCTTTCATATTGAACCCAGCTGTGGTTGATGCGAACTGGTCTGGGGAGGAACATATTCCCATGCAGAAGCTGGACATTGATGTGCCGGAGGAGTATCGCGACCACTTTATTCGTCAGTCGCGCAAGACGAAGGTTGCGGTGGACAAGTGGCTCAACGAGCAGTCCGGTCAGGCTACGAGCGCGCCCGAGGAGGTAGATGACGAAACCCTGACCTTTGCCATCTTAACCCATCTCGGACCTCATGAACGTCAACTATTCTCCGCCCTTCTCGGCCTCGGCTCTACAGTGCCTACACCGCGACCGGAGGGACCACCGCGGCCCCGACCCGCACCATTGGTATCATCCTCGCTCGCTATCCAGCGGCTGTACCGATTAACCTCCGCTCCGCGTGATCCCGAAGCTGCCATCTATATGCTGAACAATCCCGGCATGCACCATGTTCTCGCCACCCTGGCCGCAATCAGTGACGACGAGTGGGACATATTGATCTCGGGTCGGTTTGATGGTTTTCTGCGGAGTGGTGCTGAAGACACCTTCCCCGGCGCACCAGGCTCCACCCCACCACGTTATAGCTACAGTCGATCCAACACTCCGTTCACCACCGGCGGGATCTCGCGCGGTCCGACACCAAACCCAATTGATGGGGGAATCCGACCCGCTAGTCAGCCATATGGCCCATCTCCCTCGCCTGCCCCAGCTTCATTTGGTGGCCCGATCGCCCTGGACGAGGAAATGGAAATCGCGGCTCTGGCAGAGATTGAACGGGACATCTACCTCGGTATGGAGGCACTTGAAGATGCATTTGAGGCCCTTCACTGCAAGGCAGAGGTGGTGCGGCGCGCGCTCCGCGAACGTGGCGCAGGGCTGTCGATTGCAAACCAGAACCGTCGTGGTTCCTACGTGGAGGCTCGCCTGGGGACTCCAGCCTCTGGCCTAGGCGTATGGGACGAGGGTGCAGACGACGACTTTTTGGACGATGCCGTGTCGTTGGCCCCAGATGACTCGGCCAGCAACATCAGCTCCAACCGCCGACGCCGTCCAAAGCGTCGTACTGAACGACGGACACCTGCTCCTGTCGAAGAGGAGGACGAAGAAGAAGTATACGACAGTCGACGAGGCTCCCGGAGAAGATAATCCATGGCAATAGCCCTTGATAGCGACCAACTCCTTTCAACCCATATACAAAACAACACGAATAGCGCAACCGCATCCGCATGGTCTCTTTATTTCATTTCATTTCATTCAGCGTCATACACGACATTCAAACGAGGCGCACGGAACCACGAATCCATGAATTGCGACGAGACGAGACGAGATAAGATGATGAAATGTATCAACGCATTGAAGACTCGAGGAAGTCGAGATGGCGGGTGTGTATGTAAATGACATGCACGACACCTAATGTTTATGTATTTTAACGAGGTTTTCCTTTTCTTCCTGTTGTTCTGTTCGTCCGGCTTTCTTGTTTCTCGATTCCCACCCATCAACTGCTGACAACGATAATGATTTCGTTGTACATACGCACCCCCCTGATGTTATGACTTTATGAATCGGTGAATACCAGCTGCATATAGGTGTCCTTTTATATTTAGATATTATGCTTGAATAGTATATTTGTCTATACTATGGAGATGGGCTTTCGAAATTAAATTGAGTCTACTCTTTTTCCCTCACACTCGCTCTGTAGTTGATTGTAACATAAGGCAACACTTGTCTGAATCTGAATGTCCATAGATATAGATTGGATTGACTTCTGCCCGCCAAAGTCCCTCATACCAACAGCACTTCAAAACACTACAACTCAACCATAGAAGTAAAAGACAGCCCTAGAGGTCAATGCAGATATTCCCATTGATATTCCCAAAAGATCGACAGTGAGTGATTGAGAAAGAGGGAGTAAGTCAGCTAGAACACATTATTACTCTCAAATGTACTATCGTATAGTTTACATCCACTAGTTGTTGCTTACCCGGAGCTTTGAATGCTATTGAAATGCCGTCTGGTCAATAAGTAACTACCCATGATAACAATACAGAATTTACTACAACTATCACTTAGTACTCTGCTAGTTCTGGTTTCTCTCCATTTAGTTATTTGTTCGTAGTTTGGTGACTAGTAGTAGTAGCCTTTGATTTCATCGTAACTTTCTATGGTACATATATATATATATGTATATATATATCGCACCATCGGGGATGTATTACGTATAGACAGGTCTTTAGTTTTGA